CGCTTCGCTCGAGTTTGTTGCTAGTACGTTTTGAATAGATATAAATAGTTACTAGCCAGCGTTAACCATATAAATTTTTTTTTGTTAATAATATTGACAAATATTAACATTAATATTTATGCGATACTAACGTCACTCAATTGTTTTGCCTTCCCGGAACCTCTTCACTAACACTTAAACTTTATGGTATGGTATTAAAGTTCAAATTGACTTTTAAGTATTATTTCGAATCTTTTGTATGGGGGTATAGAAAAGTGTTGTTTTTAGACTTTTTCAGGCATTTTTTAAATTTTTCTCTCCGTAAGAACCATCCTCGTACTTCAAGAAATATTCTAAAAAAATAATTAGCGAAATCGGTTCAACTGCTCTCGAGATTTGCGCTTACCAACATATTCAGTGATTCATTTTTATATTATAAAGATGTATAATTATATGGAATACGGAATTGAAGCCACGTCTAAATTACACAAAATTACTTTTAACATTACTAAATATATTGCAATTAAAAGTTTATATTATAATACTTCGGGAAAACTTATTTGATTTTGAAGCCATTGGTAACGCCTTCGCTTGGAAAACTAAGTATCGCAGTATAGGTTGAATCATTATATATTGTATATTTTATTATTAATAACTTATTTGTTAAATTGAAAATATGGTACTTTCTGAGATTCCTGATAGTGAAATTGTAGTTGCAATAAATCGTGTAAAATAAAATTGTAATCATATTATAATGACTCATGATGAGGTATAAAATTAAAAGGTTCATTTTGTAAACTAATTAGTAGGTACTACATGTTGGAACGGCTTTTATGATGCAATTAATGGATACAGTTTAAGTGTTGTGAAAAACAAACGGGGTATTAATTTAATAGTGACATGCTAATGGAGGCCAGCCACCTGAGCTTTTACTTTAAAATGTATTTATTACAAAATTTACTGGTCGAGGAAAATATCAATATATTTAAAACATTTTTCAATTTTAATAGAATTGGGGAATACCTAAGTGATGTCAGATTTTTTGGTCAATTTACTTTAAAAACTAAATGATAATAAATAAAATATGTTATTTATTGAATATGAAATATACTCGTAGTTATAGTTTTATTAAAATTAGTTAGTTTATTTTTGTTATTTATAGGTAAATGATCTTACGCTAGTGAATCAGATATAAGGAATCCAATATTTTTTTGCCAGTAATATATTATGACATTGATTCTTCTGCTCGTGTTTGTTGTCTATATATTGCTATTAATTAATTATCGTATCGTATCGTCCAGGTTCTACGTAATGTTTAATTTACAAAAGTGATCGTAATTATTTTAAAAGTTTAAATTTTAATATCGCCATCCCTGTTGAAAAACTCCAATAGAATCCAATAGAATTTATTGGCTTTTGTCGCTTTTGATGGGATCCTATTGGAGTTTTTAAATAGGGATAATCTCTAAGATTTACAATGACAATATTGTGATAAAGGAATATCATTTAAGTACATTTACCTTCCATCGTTTCACAAAATTTGACCATATCACCAGCGAGATCGTTGAAGCATTCGGATGAATTTTATCGACGACCATTCACGTGCTCGAATTTTGTCAATTCAACGCACTGGTTATGTAGAGAATATCGGAAACAATTAGACAACTGTGGCATTGGTCAGCCGAGCGCATATCCGTACTGGCGTTCTGCCCTACTGATACATTGAGGCTCACCTATACAATAACATTAATAAGCCTTATTATTATTATAGCATAAAGTTCACATTACCCTATGTCATAAGGCAGATCGAACAATCGCAGAATATTTTTCTCTGGTATTAAAGCAAAAAAGTAATGTTTGAGCGCACTTTGTTATTTTCATTTTTATTCATGACATTATTTTTACATTTTTTTATCTAATATGAAATCATGGTAAATGAAATTTTCATTTTCTTTTGAAAATGTTACAAACTAGTTCTAGCTCGTAGCATCGCTCTGCGATATGATGATAGAAAGTACCCTTAGATGTGTTAAACAAAAGCTATTTCAATTTTCAATTTTATTAAATAGATACGTTTTACCGCGAAGAATTATACGAGTATCTATATATATATATATATATATATATATATATATATATATATATATATATATATGTATTTACATCTATTGTAATATAATTTTTATTTATATGAATTAGAAGATAACCATATACCGAATGACATAAAAAATTTAATAGGAAACACTCTTCTTTCAATTATCTATATTTATTGCAATTTTAATAGGTTTCAGTTTACAATATAAAGTGTTTTAGTGGGTAAATTCTGTAGGCAGTAGACGTTGTATGACCCGAGGTCGTACAAGTAACTAGTTTGTATCTCCGCTAAGTGCGTCCTGCCGGACCGTAGTATTTAACCTAATATTCGGTAATTGCATTAAAGGGCAGAATTAATTACCTGCCTCTTGGAGTTGGTTAGCTAAGACGACATTCTGATACGTGCATTGTGTGCAATATAGACATATGCATGATTATATCGGTCTAATAATGTTACTAGCTATCTAATGATATGTTATTGACTCTTTATCAAGTTTAAATTTTAAATTAATACTTATAAACTTACTAGCAGAACCCGCGGCTTCGCTCGCGCTAAAACTACAAAAAAATCTCTAAAAAGGTAGTTTCATACAAATTTTCATCCCCTATTTTACCCTCTTACAGGATAAATTTTGAAAATGCTAAGACTCGTGTTTATTTAATTTTATTGAAGAGTATATATACCACGTTTCAAGTAATTCTGATAATAAATGTTTTTCGGATTGTATTATAACGTGTTTTCCCGTGGGAATTAAGTAATCTCCCGCGATAAAAAATAGCCTATGTCACTCTCCAGTCCTCTAACTATCTCCACACAAAAAAATCACGCCGATCCGTTACTCCGTTTCGACGTGAAAGAAGGACAAACAATCATACACACTTTCACATTTATATTAGTATGGATTTACAATCTTTACCAAAAATTTAGTTAAGATTTTCATATTAAATAGAATTTAGTTTGTTTGAATATTTTTTTAAGTATTATATTTTCTACATTAAATGTATTTAGATGGGATAATATAGGGATGGTAGTTTAGAAAATAAAAGTTAGCTGTAGTTAGTTATATTTTACTTATAATTTAATATACATAAAAATACTAGATTACTACTTAGACTTAGGGTGAGATTCATAGTCGTAACTTTACCTTAAGTCAAGTCAAATATCTCTGTAAAGTGTCCTTTGCATTCTGAAGTTTACTGTTAATATTTTGTATAGTTAACATTTCCATATGACATGTTCCAAGCTTAATAAAATTTTAAATGATTTTTGTGTCATTATTTGGTAATGATATATTTTTTGTATATTATTTATATATGTTAATATGTAACTTATACGGATAATCGATTTAAAGTTTATTTTGTTATCAAAGTAGCCATCAATAGAACTTCGACATAAAGTAAAGTGTAAGTGCGATCTATGAATCTCGCATTTAGTGTCTGACAAACATTATCTGATTGTTCAAAAATTTCTTTAATAGTGAGTTCTGCCTTAAAAAATGCCATGATGAGACCAGCAAATTAGCCAGCAACAAACGTATTGCATTTATCTACCTTATAACAGTGCTACATCGAGTAAAAAAATATTTACTATTTTCACCTTTATTATTCTTACTTTTCTCACACAAATCCTACAAAAAATAATATTTAGGTTATTTATTTTAATTAAGTTATTTTTTAGATACCTAAAATCTACCGTTTGGATAGTTATTTTTAACATTATGTTGTCATCTGCCAGTAAAGGCCGTTCGAGCGACGACAGCCTCGTATTTAGGTTGAAACTAACCACATTTTAGTCTTTTTTTTCTTAGATTTACGCGAATATTTGATATTTGAAATAAAACTATCTTTTCTGATCATTTCTAGAAACTGTCTATCTAACACCTCAGTCTCTCCCGTGACCATGACTGCTGTAAAGCATTCGAAACGTCGGGAACCAAAAATCAAAATAAATCCGCGAAATAATCCGAAAAGATAGTTTTATTTAAATCACATTTTAGTCTTTATAAAAGATAATATTACCGTTACTGTTAAGAGTAAACCGAACTAAATGTAACTTATAACGAATATGTATATTATACATTAATATTATAATAAGTAATCTCTTTTAGTAACCATGAGGTATATTCTCGATAATAAAAATAATCAATCATAGCTCCAGCCGGAAGTTAAATTATTTAAAATTCATTGTTTTATTATTGCTTGAAGTTATAATTGTTTATTTTTATTTTAAGAGCTGCGTCAGTTAAGTGACTGTTGTGCTCTAGTAGGTTATACATTATATATTAATTTAATCTAAATACATGAAATATAAAATAAACTCTCACTATTTAATATCGATTTATATATATATATATATATATATATATATATATATATATATATATATATAGATTTATATATCGATTATATATTATGTTTCTTATAGAATTAATTATCTACACTAATATTATAAAAAGGTAAAGTTTGTAAGTTTGTCAGTTTGTTTGTTGGAAGTAATGTCTGAAACTACTGAACCGATTTAGATGTTTGCTAAGTAGATAGTTTGATACCCTGGGAAGGACATAGGTTAGTTTTTATCCCGGATATCATTCCGTAAGGGGGTGAAAATGGGAATGAAGGTTTGTATGGGGATACAAACGCTAGTTTTAGATATCTGAAGAGACATTATGCAAAATGTTTTATTTAACTAAATTTATTAAAGAACTGATAACTAGTTAAAATCAAAATTTACTCAGTATTTATTAAATTGAATCATTGTTGTGGTTATTATTAATTTTATCAGTAATTATTTGACTCGCGCATGTCTTTTCTTAAAATAAAATTAATTGCTTAATTAATAAAATGGAAAATCACTCAATGATTTATTCTTCGTATTAATATAATCACTGAACTACAAGTAAAGTTTTACTTATTCAGAAGATTATTCAGTGATCTGAACCGGGTTTATATGCTGCACTCCAAATATCCGCGAAGCAAACACTCGAGTGGAATCTGTAGAACATGATTAGAGGTAGGCTTATGTGACCTAATATACTCCATAGTACTTTCCCATAGAACTCATATCTTTCGTCCAGGCTTTCTGGGGATTTGTAAGAGAAGGTGTTAAAAAGCCACATAGCTACATTAGTTATTAGAAGGAACATGATTGTTTCGCGTCCTGGTTTTCTCCGTCTCAGTTTGCGAGAGTTACTGCAGCGGCGAAGGCCGTCCACTAATAGCGCAGTTTGTAAGATTACTTGAACGACCTAAAAATAAAATTAAATTATCATATGATTTGACGACACGTTTGGCTCAGTTTGTAGTGACCCTACTTGCTGTGCCAGCGGTCGCGGGTTCGAGTCCCGCTGGGGTTATTCATTTGTGTGATGAGCATGAATGTTTGTACTCCAGTCATGGGTTAAAGTTATATATGTGTAGTGTATCAACTATCTGGTATCCATAACACAAGTCTCGTAGCTTACCATGGAACTAGATGGCGCTGTGTGTTAATGTCCCAACAAATATTTATTTATTTATTATTTTATTTATATGATTTGTCTCTTATTCTTGGCTAATTGAAAAATATAAAATTAATAAATTAAAATATACTTACCATGACAATAACATCTATGCTTCTTATAATATTCAAAATGTTGATAGTTGCTATCATAGAAAATACGGTTTCCATGAAAAATGCTGGCAAACATATAAACAACAAAATATCGTCTAGAAGAGAGATTGGATGTTCATTGATATCCAACCGCCTTGTCTGATTGTATGCAATCACTACTGCGAAGAGTAATATTGTATGTAGACCGAGTTTAGTGCAGGAATTTACCATGTAGCCTAATTCGTGTAAGTTTCTGTAAGAATAAAGCACAATTTACATATACATATCTATATCTTATATTAATATATTTTTTAAATGTATGAATGAATGAATGAATGAATGAAATAAACTTTATTCAATTAGACTTATTACAAGTACTTTTGCATCGTCAATTTAATGAAAGCGTCAGTGTAGTCAGTCCGTGAGGAAGCTACCACCGGCTCGGAAAGCAGTTCTGCTGCGAAGAACCGGCGAGAAACTCAACAGTTGCTCTTTTAAATATAGATGGTACAATGATTTTATTGACATAAATTTATAGATAGCCTGCATATGAGTCAATATCACTCAATTCCACACATTTTCATCAACAAGAAACTCTTGAACAGTATAATACGCTTTGCTCAATAAAACATTTTTAATATTATCTTTAAATTTTTGAAAAGGTAAATCTAGGACATTTTATGGAATCATATTATATATGCGTACACTCAAGCCATGAAGGATTTATTCAACTTTTTAAGACGAAATCTAGGCGTAACAAGCTTATTTCTATTTTATTGTGTCTATCACTGTTTTTTTACATAGTTATTTAAATAATAGTAGATTTATTTACTAATATTTGTTCTGACTGATTTGTCAACGTGCTTAAAGCGTGCAAAGATTAAATTTTTAAGATAAAATTTTTTACAACATTTAACTTATTCGTATTTACGTGACCGCTAATAAATGGTGTTTTGCAATACCTCTCATAAAATTGTGCTTTTTTAATATTTTTCATATCTTCATAAAGGCAAAAAGTGTTAACAATTTACTAAACCGTTAAATAATATAGGTATAAATGTCATAGTGAAAAATTACCCACGTAATTATTGATAAACCACATTAAATGAATGACTTAACTAAAATATTTACTCATATTTTAAAAGGCCCACAATGAAATTATGTAGTTATAATATAGTTTTATGTATTACTAGCTGTGCTTCGCGGTTTCACCCGCGTTAAATTTGATAATACATATATGTATGCCTGTTTCTTATAATCTACCTTCTAAAACGATGAGTATTGGACCAAAGTTTCTGAGACAAAAAACTTGTATGAATACAAAAAAAGCAAAAGTAAAAACTTTGGATCCGATTTTTATGCTTGAGCGTGCGAAATTAGCGACCACATTTTGCGTGGCGACAGAAAACCGTTTGAAAACTCGAAAACACGTGTTTTCCCAGACATAAGACTAATCTAGATCTATTTTTCGCCCCCGAAAATGCTCACATACCAAATTTCAGCGAAATCGTTAGAGCTGTTTCCGAGATCGCCGTTATAAATAAATATACAAGAATAATTGCTCATTTAGATATTAAAACATATTATAAACACCAGTTTTACAATAATGTATGGAAAACTGCCCGATTTGTTGACATTTATGATTACTGCTCCGCTCTCTTGGGTAGTAGCATTATGATATATAGCCTATAGCCTTCCTCAATAAATGGGCTATCTGATGCAAATACAATTTTTCAAATCGGATTAATATTTTCTGAGATTAGCGCGTTCAAACAAACAGACAAACTCTGCCTCTCTATAATATTAGTGTAGATAAATTAACCGAATAATTATTATTAAGAATCTAAACGACCGAAAATCTTTTTAAAGAACCGTTCAAACTCATAAGCTGACGATGTTCAATAGAATCTAATAAAGGGTGGCCCATCGATTACTCGATTATCGCGATGGTGTGGTGTCATTCGAAAAAGAGAAAAGATTTATGGAAGAGAGTAGAGATTGAGTGCGAGGTTCAGCACAGGCTAAGGATTTTTTCGAAAGGTCTCAAGCAATGGGCTTGAATCTAGAGCTAATTGGACTTAAATTGGAAATGCTTACAGTACAGGTAATAAACGGAATAAAAGACATGGCTAACTTCCACTTGAATCAGTCAATTACTTTTGAGTTTTGAATTCTACTTGCAGCTTCAATTCTAGTTTTACGATTTCCTACTTAAAACTTCACATCTATTTGTTCTGAACTAAAGAAGAGAACATACATACATTTTATTTTTATTTATAAGAATAGATATGTATGTACTATGTACCTACATATGTGTATGGATACGTGCAAAAAGAATTACAAGTCTTTAAGTTTAGTAAATATGAGAAGTTCATGTATTCTCTGAGCAACTATTCAGTTTTTAATATCTGTTCGCGTTCCCGTTCCTACGTGTATGTCTGTCCTATTTGTTTATTTTTTTCTGTCAACATTTCGAACGTCTTAAATACGTTTAGCGAGTGTTTAACAAGTTACAAGTAATTAACAGTATTTCCAAAGTAAATGATGTAATCATGGATTACTACATTTATTATATATTAATATTGAAATTGAAATAAATATATTGAAATAAATATATTACAACACTGAGATCTATACTTACTCGCCAACACTGTTAAAGATGAATCCCAATATAAGCATTCCAACTACAATAACAGTTAAAATCATTCCTAAGAACAGCCCTTTATTAGAGGCGTGACAATCTGCGTAGATCACGATGTTGCTAGTGTAATCGTTGTCTTCACTTGCTGATGGTACCCTGCGATTAAATAATATAAATATAAATAAATAAATATGTTGGGACATTAACACACAGCACCATCTAGTTCCTTGGTAAGGTACGAGGCTTGTGTTATGGATACCAGATAGTTGATACACTACACATATATAACTTTAAATATATACATATTATAAATATATAGTTAAAGAACTAAGTTTATTATTAATGCCAGAGTTTGATTGAGACTTATATAAAGACTTAATCAATATACGTTAATTTCAAAAGATTCTTATGAGTAAAATTTACTTCATAATATAATTTTACCGTTATTTTTATATGTCTAACAGACTGAAAAAATCTATTTATAAGGGTACACACTACACATATGTTCATATATTTGGCGTATTTCTAACTTATACACTACGAGTGACTTACCCTCGCTTTTCTGGGTTGCGTCCCTAAGTGTCTTTTTGATTTTTATTACTTAACTAGCATTGCCCGCGGCTCCGCCCGCGTTCAGATGACCAAAAACCAAATTCTTAGGTTTTACATATTAGTATACTCTTACATTGCAGTTTTTGTATTTTTATCAGAAATGAGACATTTTCCCGCGGTGAAAGTATTCTATATGTTAACCCAGATAACCAGCTATCATCATACCAAATTTCATCAAAATGCCTCCAGCGGTTTTTCCGTGATGCGGTAACAGATAGATAGACAGACAGACAAAAATTCTAAAAACTATAGATTCGGCCTCTGCACCGATAATAATGTCTATTTCAATAACATTTTCCAAAAAATATTTAATGTACAGATTCGGCTTAGTTACAATTTTATTATATGTATAGCTTTCAAACTGTCAGCGGTAATGTTAGCTTAGGTAGCTTCTAATAGTGAAATAGTTTTCAAAGTTAGATCATTACTTTGAAAGATTACCCCCAACATCCAAAATAACAAACTTTACCTCTTTTTATTATTAATGCAGATAGTGTAGAAAAGTAATAAGTATTTGTGGAATATTATTTTTTAACGTAGTAAAGATTTGATTTATTGCGAAGATTTTGTTTTTGATAATTATTAGATAAGTACGAGTATATCTATACTAATATTATAAAAAGGCAGTGTTTATTTGTTTGAATGCGCTAATCTCAGGAACTACTGATCCGATTTGAAAAATTACTTTTGCATTAGATAGCCAGTTTATTGAGGAAGGCTATAATATATTAGTCTATTTATTCCATTCTAACCGTTAAAACGTACCTAGGGACGAACTTGAGTTAGTTGTATTAAAAAAAACCCTTAGCTGCAACTGTAGAAACTAATTATACCGATTAACAACCAATTTAATTTAGTGTTAGATACGTTATTACATAGCTTGTGATGTAATTTAACATCCGCTAAAATGGCATGGGTCAAATCACTCTTTAAATATCTTTCTTAAATAGAATGAATCTTTTTTAAATAGAATATTTAAAAAAAAATATAACATTTCAACAGTATATAATTTTTTATGACGATATATCTATCTATATCATTGTGAATTAAAGATAAAAAGTACATGTAAATATCGTATTGACTCGACTCACGTATACCAAATTAATAAGATAAGTTCTTATGTAATTATACATACTTGCAATTTACAGTATTATTATCTCCGTCGCTCGACGAGTTGTCCTGATCTATATTTGTACACGATCCAATATTGCTCCAGATTATGTAGTATACAGCAACTACAAATAAAATATGCCACACTTAAAGAACTAAACCACTAATAAATAATGCTATCAACACATAAAAACTTACAAATCCTATTAACATATATTCCGCCAAAGAGGAAGTATATATACTCGTACATATGTACATATTTTTATATTATTATTACTACTATTATTTTGTTCGTGAAATTAATTTAAGTATACATACGACTTTTGCATTTATTGTTTTATTATAATTAATAATAAGTACACATATATATCATAAACTTTAATGCAAATTAAGTAAAAATAAAAGTCAAATTTAAAACTTATGGATTTAAAAATACTATCCGATATATGTAAAGATAAAAGAAAACTCAAGCAAGTACAATAACACAAGAGTGATAAATCCTACAATTTTCTTTTAAATTGTTTATTTTATCATTTTATGGTTATTAAATTGTGATATGATTAATAACCGTCATTATCTAAAGATAAACAAACACAGCAAGATGTTCATTAAATGTAAACTAAAACTATTCATTCATTAAATCTAAAACTATTCAGTATCTATCTATATATTGATTAATCTAAGACCGCGTTGATTTTTTTATCGGTCTAAAACGACTCTACATTTTCATAGATTAGAGGCTTATTGTTAGGAAATAACTATGTGAGTAAAAGCTTACTTATTTTAGAACTAGATTGACAACTTTCTTTAACATTCATTTGGCTTTTACTGAACAAAATAAGTTAATAAAGTATAAATAATATGTTTATACTTTCAGTAAAATAATATAAGGTATAGTACAATGAATAAGTATACTTAATTTAATTAATTTAAACATTTATACTATAACTAGCGGACCCGACAGACGTTGTCCTGTCTACACGTCTTTAATTTGAAAATTTCAAAGTTTTTTTAATAATTTTTTTGATGAAAATTATTATTCAAATTGTGAATCTAAACCATTCCCAGATCCCCTTGAACACACACAAAAAATTTCATCAAAATCGGTCCAGTCGTTTGAGAGAAGTTCAGTGACATACACACTCACAGAAGAATTATATATATAAAGATTATAGCCCTATAATATTTTTGGTAATTTATTGTCTAAACAAATTAAAATTCAAAGTTCTTACCTATAAGAATATTAAACTCAACACCAAATGGATATAAATATGGTGAAAGATTTTCAATAATAGATGTAATAGTCGCTGGGCCTTTACATTTTTCATTGTAAAGATTACTGATGTCCAATATATTGCCTGTAACTGTAACATTTTTATTTGTTAGTATAAATTAATCTCTGCTGCTTAAATAGCTGAATGGGTATATATATATATATATATATATATATATATATATATATATATATATATCCATCGAAGTATCGGTAAAAAGAAATAGCGCACTTTTGTTTGTGTGTATACAATATGTGCTAGTCTCGGCGAGATTGGCCGCCGTGGGAGAATCACTCAGGACAAGTAATCTACCCATTTAGTCTAAAACGATTAAATATGCCCACGTATGTGCTTCATAGGAACGCGTAGAAGAAGGAATAGAAGCTCAACTGCTTGAAAAAAAATTGGCAATATTTTTAACTTAGAATTTTACCCTAAAAATCTTATTAAAATCCATTCACTCATTCTTGATATGGCTTTTTACTAAATTAAAAAAATATTTATAATGCGTCTAACTCAAAATTATGACAATAATTAATATTGTGGCGGACGTGAGGAGAAAATAATAAAGCTTTAATATTAAGCGTTTATTGAAGTGCGTATTGCACTTGCGAGACCAAGCGAGAGACTGTCCAATCAATACATATTCGATCTATAATCTAATGTAATATCTATACTTATATATTATGCCCGTTACAAATCATATTACCTCATGTTACAATAGGTACAAATATATACGAGAATAATAAAAAAAAACGAATGTAGGTACATTTCATAAAATAGATGAAATCACTATATTTATGATTATACTAGCATTGCCCGCGGCTCCGCCCGCGTTCAGATGACCTAAAATCAAATTCTTAGGTTTTACATATTAGTATACTCTTACATTGCAGTTTTTGTATTTTTTCTCAGAAATGAGACATTTTCCCGCGGTAAAAAGTATTCTTTATATTGACCCGGATAACCAGCTATCATAATACCAAATTTCATCAAAATCCCTTCAGTGGTTTTTCTGTGATGCGGTAACAGACAGACAGACTGACAAAAATTCTAAGAACTATAGATTCGGCCTCTGTATCGATAATAATGTTTATTTCAATAAGATTTTCCAAAAAATATTTAATGTACATATTCGGCTTAGTTACAATTTTATTATATGTGTGAAGGACAACACAATATTATTCGATGTTCTATACTAATTAAAAATTATCACAAAGTATGGATAGTGAACGTGGTGAAAATACTCTCTATCTCCATATTTGAAGTGGACAAGTGACACTTAAAGATTAGAAGATATAGAATAAATTAGTTAGATTTATTTAAAGCATCTTCACAAGTACTAGGAATTTAAATGCAATTCATTCAAATCCAGTCAGAATTGCATATTGAAATGTCAACTTATCTGTTTAAAATATCCCATATCTTTCATTTTTATTGAGATAAATTTATTTTTGCTCGCGATACCTTTCGTGTAAGCAGTCGTTAAGAGGGTGTGTAATGTACAGTCTGAATAAGTAACTGAAATAGTACACAAATATATTACATACGTAACTACTTTCACATATTTATTATTACACTAGCATTTCCCGCGGCTCCGCCCGCGTTCAGATGACCAAACCCAAATAAAATAGCGCTATTGTTATTTTTTTTCAAGATAAGCTATTTTTAATAGTTTTTGTCTTATTTAGTAGGTTACCTTGCTAAAATATATATAGTATCATCGTGCTTTTATTTTAACCAGTTTTTGTATTTTTTCCCAGAAATGAGATATTTTTCTGCAGAAAAAACTACCCTATACGTTGACCCGGATAACCAGCTATGATCATACCAAATTTCATCAAAATCACTCCAGTAGTTTTTCTGTGATGCGGTAACAGACAGCCAGATAGACAAAAATTCTAAAAACTATAGATCCGGCCTCTGTATCGATAATAATGTTTATTTCAATAAAATTTTCCAAAAAAATATTTAATGTACAGATTCGGTTTAGTTACAATTTTATTATATGTAAAGATTGTTATACGTACTATGTTGAATGTAAGTTTCATTCGGTGTTTCTGTCTCTGTTTGATTATTGCCATATTTAGAATTTGCGTAAATAGTTAAAGACAAAACTGTTTCACGAACGATTGTTGAAATCCAAAAACATAAACTGCTGCCAATCATGTGCATGAAGCCGAAGTGAGCCAGACCCTGTAAAAATTATGGCAGTTAGCTGCTGCTGTTTCACACATAGCAAGATCCTTTTTAATAGAATAATTATTGATATATGAAATTACAAATTTTCCTTATAGATATAATATGTTAAGATATAAAAAGATTTGAAATAGAGGCTTTAAATGTAGTTTTCTTTTGTTATGTTGTAAAAGTTTTTAGTATGTTTTTTTTAATTTAAATTCTAGAAGTAAAATAAATCTATTATTGTTTCAGAAACGCAATTAAGTCTTTATTTTTAAATAAGAGAGTAATATCATTATATATATTTTAACTAAAACTATCTTTTCGGATTATTTCGCGGATTTATTTTGATTTTTGGTTCCCGACGTTTCAAACGACGTTTAAAGCATTTTACATCAATCATGGTCACGGGAGAGACTAAGGTTATAGACGTCTCAAACACATATACTTGTTACAGACAGTGCCTACCCACTATTTTACAAAAATGATTTCAAAAATTCCAAAATGGCACCAAAGTACCTTACAATATTTGTTGACTTTAATTCTAAATATTTTAATTTACTTTTTTTTATATATATTTTGAAATATATTTAAAAAAAAATCTATTGAGACCAATTTATAATGTTATTACTTATATATACATTAAATTTAGATAGTAATTAAGCCCTACAATATTAAAACAATATAAGATAATATTATATAGTAAAACAATATAATTTTACCTGTGCTCGGAGTATGAGAACATTAGAATACTTGAATATGAAAAAAAGTTGTAGGAAGCAGTATAGCGGGTTGCACACATCGAGTATAACTTGCATTATGTCGATGCAGCTCTCATTGTCGATATTTTCGTCAAAGTAAAAGCTCATCTGTACTACTATCAGTAAAACAGAGTGCACTAAATGACCTAAAGCGAAACCTAAAAAAAGGAAATTATTTTTTATTTCTTTTTTATCTTTTCTGAAGACAGAAATCATCATATTAACAGGCTTCTCCTGGGCAAACTCGCTAGATCGTAGACCTTATCTGTGCCTTCGAGCTAAGATGAAGGTCAAGAGTGAGCCCATCTCTAATAAAAAAAATATATATTTAACTAGCTGCTGACACTGGCTAGTTGATAGAGACACTGTGACTAGATACAAATAATAATTATCTTAATGCTTACTTAAAACTTTTTAGCGTTTTACGTTACCTGTTGTGCTGTAGTGATATAGTGAAAATAAAAAAAAATACAATGTTAAAACAAATTTGAAGTTTTCAGTAGGAATAAAATATATACTTCGGCGTATATTTATTACTTATTATAATGTATAACAACATGATAGCAAATAGACCAGGGCTGAAGCCTTTGGTAAATGATAATAGTAGGATGAAACCCATTGGAAAAGGAAGAGAATATAATAATAAAATATAAAATAAATAAATATGTTGGGACATTAACACACAGCACCATCTAGTTCCATGGTAAGCTACGTGGCTTGTGTTATGGATACCAGATAGTTGATACACTACACATATATAAACTTTAAATACATACATATTATAAATATAAACACCCATGACTGGAGTACAAACATTCGTGCTCATCACACAATGAATGCCCCCAGCGGAACTCGAACCCGCGACCGCTGGCACAGCAAGTAGGGTCACTACACACTGAGCCAAACGTGTCATCAAGAATGAAAGGAAAAATAATTTATGGGCGATCTGATGGGAAGTGGAAGAGGGTGAGTTTTTAAGGGTAAAAAACGGTTTATCTCGATTACTTTTTTAAAAACGCAGATATTTTGACAGGAGAATTTTCGATTGAAAATTAGGGTGCTTTTTTGATATTAAGTCAAAATAAGGTGAAAAAATAAATATTTTAAATAAAAAAAAATTCAGTATGTTTGCGACATAAAAAGATAAGTTTTCACCAAACGTAAAAAAAATATTTGTAAAAGATAAAGATAAAAAACATTGAGGTTCTGTGAAAAAAAAAAGTAAATAGAGAAGTTGTAGATCTTTTTATAACCTACATCTTTGCCATTTAACTTTTTTCCATAGGACTTGTAGTTTTGCCGAAAATCAAGATGAGCCGTTTTTTACCCTTAAAAACTCACCCCCTTCCACTTCCCGATTGATTTAAAATGACTAAATTATTTTTCCTTTCATTTTTATTATATTCTCTTCCTTTTCCAATGGGTTTCATCCTACTATTTTTTTTTGGTTTCAAAAATAATCGACCCTGGTCTAGTGCAATCTGTCGTTAAGATATTTTAAAGTTCATTGTTTTAATTATTTAGATCATAACATACCTGCAGCGCCCATTTTTAAGTAGAAACTTCCAGAATGCCTTCCAGTGCTAAAGCAGTAGTCGTGCCTTAAAGGAATTAATACAGCTGAAGGAAAAACTTGTGGTAAATTACTTGGTGTTACCATGCCTGAACCATTGTTATTAAATTCCTCCTATAATTTAAAAAAAAATATGAAATATTGATTCGTAACTAATAAAAAACACAAATAATTAAAATATTTTAGAGTTTTAAGTAATATGTTTACTAAAACAATAAAAAATATACCAATATAATATCATAAGTACTTACTTCTTGTTTTCGAAAGAATTCTGTTATGTTATTATTATGGGCCCCCTTAATCTTTTCATTCTTCCTTACGATTGCTTTGTATCTGTTTATATCTATTAATAAATATAATAAATACATAAATCCGATTGCGAGTAATATGAGTGAGTAAATCTAAAAATAAAATAAAAAGGACTATATGAATAACTATTATAATTAATAACAACATATTTATACATATAATAAAAGTGTAACTAAGCTGAATCTGTATTGAATAGACATAATTATCGATACAGAGGCCGAATCTATAGTTTTTAGAATTTTTGTCTGGCTGTCTGTCTGTTACCGCATGACGGAAAAACCACTCGAGGTATTTTGATGAAATTTGGTGTGACGGTAGCTGGTTATGCGGGTCAACATATGGGATACTTTTTACCGCGGGAAAATATTTCATTTCTGAGAAAAAATACAAAAACTGCAATGTAAGAGTATACTAATATGTAAAACCTAAGAATTTGGTTTTTGGCCATCTGAACGCGGGCGGAGCCGCGGGCAATGCTAGTAAATATAATTTAACAACTCAACAGCTACATAGTAAGGATATTGCATAATGTTATGTAAATATTAAATTCATTTAATAATAAAGTAATTACCGGTGATGGCGCATACGATATGATTGGATCTGCTAAGTAAATTATAATTCCAAGAGTAACCAGTAACACTGCGTACATGCAACTTAACATCAACGTGAAGTATTTACTGTAAGAAACATAAAACAATTATTGGGTCAAATTATTTTAAAAATTTATATCGTTGATCGTCTGAAGATTATAAAATAATTCAAAAAGTTATCTTCATAATACTATGAAGTGATGTTTATATTTATGACTGCCTCGGTGGTGTAGTTGCTAGCATGTACAGCTGTACACACGGAGGTCCTGGGTTCGAGTCTCAGTTTAATTATTGAGTCTTTCTGTATAGTAAGCATCAGTAACAGCCCGGAGTTGGGAAGTTGGCGGTGTTTCACCCTCGGAGAGCATGTAAAGCTGTCGGTCCTGCGCCTTAACTCTCACCGGTCGTGTTGAGCAGTCGTCCCACTGGAGTATGAGAGTGACAGGAATAGAGAGTGCACGTTGTGTCTGCGCGTACACTTGAGCACTATAATATCTCCTGCGCAGTTGGCTAATCTCAATGAGATTGGCCGCCGTGGCCGGAATCGGTCAGGAGAACATCATATTTATGGATCTGTTCCTTTAAACGCACATACAAATATGCTGATTTTATAACATTAATTATTTAATTTTTTATTTATATCAAACGAAAAGTATGTAATTGTTTTATAAATAGATATTCCGTATAAACTTATTATCTTATCAAATACGTAGCAATAATTGTTTCTAGCATACTTACACGGTAAGGCGCGTGTTATCTTCAGGACTAGTCGGCGGTGGCGCCTGAGTATCTACAGAACGAATCGACTGTGCATCCATTGTAACAACCGATCTTTTTCTAGGAGTTGATCCATCACGGAAATCGGTAGGCGTTTGAAGGCGATAATTATCTACAATTTTATGAATACTTTTATTGCTAAAATTTTCAAATACGTAAAAACTATCTTATGACTTTATTTAATAATTATAAACATCTCAAAATATTTAAATGATTTTTATGCTTTGGTACAAAGTAAATAAATAAGCTGATTTATTTTTTTAATTATACTAATATTATCTATGGAATTAAATTATCTGTGGAAGAAAAGTTTCTTAATTATTGTATACTTACTGACTGATTTAATATCTCCATTTCTATAAATTCCATTATAATAGATTGGGCTTGCAGAATTTTCAGAAGCTGTTTGTTTTGAAAAAAAAAAGATAAGTTAGGTAGGTCATATATAGTTCTCAGAATTGTTATTGGGTACAGACGTAATAATTAGGTTTATATTTTAACGGCTTCAATGATAAATATAGCAAGAAGTGATTGCGATTACAATGATTAATCTTATCTGAATATTAAATATTTCATGAATTATTATTTATATTAAAGTGTTATATATAATTTACAATTGTAAGTCATTGCAATTTTAATGACACTAAATTTAAAAAAAATGTAATTTAATATAAAATATATATAAGATGCAAGTGTTGGAATTTTCATTCTTACCTAAAGGAATAGGCGGGGTGGAATAATCTGATTCTCGATTAGGTATTATAAGGCTGGGCAATCTGTCCGTGGGGTCCTGTAATCAAAAGCTCTATTACCTAGCTTATACGAGAGTAGTGATCGGAAGATCGGAACGCTTGCAGTCTATTTACTGCACAAACCTGAACAAAAAAATTCTGCGTGAACATCGAAAGCCGTACAAAATTGGATTAATAACTTCATTAGTTGCTTGTTTCTCTCGATCGACAACAACCCGTATTTCACTATAATCCCATTACTCCATTCCACGTTTTCGACATAAAATTTTGACCGTTCGATTTCGGATAAAAAAGTTCGATCACATTCATTCCTTTCAACAAGTAAAATTTCTGGGTTTGTGTACTATATCATTATTATATATTTACTAGCATTACCCGCGGCTCCGACCGCGTTCAGATGACCGAAAACCAAATTCTTAGGTTTTACATATTAGTATATTTTTACATTGCAGTTTTTGTATTTTTTCACAGAAATGAGATATTTTCTCAGGGTAAAATGTATCCTATATGTTGAGCCAGATAACCAGTTATCACCATACCAAATTTCATCAAAATCCCTTCAGTGGTTTTTCTGTAATGCGGTAACAGACAGACAGACAGACAGACAGACAGACAAAAATTCTAAAAACTATAGATTAGGCCTCTGCATCGATTATAATGTTTATTTCACTAAGATTTTCCAAAAAATATTTAATGTACAGATTCGGCTTGGTTTTAATTTTATTATATATATATAGATTAAGAAACTATAAGTATGTCATCATAGATATATGTACTTGTAATTGCTTATGTTATTTTTAATATTCGAGTAATTATAGTTAAAATTTATTTCATAGTCACATCCAAACATGACGACTCCATCGCTGAGTACTCATGAACTTTTATTACAATACATAAAATTATTTTCATATTGACTTGTACACCGTATTGAGTTGTGTCCGCATAAAAATATTAGTCGTTAAACAAGTAAATTTTACATATTTTTATAACATAAGATATTTTTCATAGATTATACTATTATCGATTACACATAAACAATATTGAAAAACGTTATATCTTTTGCTAGGAATTAATAATAATTATTTTCTACATTCCGTTTGTAATTAATTACGTAGAATAAAACATCCTTCATACGATTAAATAAAAAATTAGCGTTCATAGCTTTACTAAAATAATTAAAAATAGGTGAATGCTGTCACCAGTGATGCTATTAATGAACATTTCTATTGAGCATTTATGACGCAGCCAGTTAACAGAGTAAAAAAATAAAATAGAGATTGAATTTTCATTAGGCGAGGCGTTGGGGCGGCACGATGTGTCCGCAGTCGGTATTTACAGGGGGTGGAGGGCGTAGGGCGAGGGTGGTGAGCGGCTGGACTCAAAAGGTTTACAGTTGGCTGCGCGAGAGTGACCCGCCTCACAAACACGGGCCGCGCTCGCCGCTATGGAACTGTGCGGCTCGTATATAACAAATCCCTAACATTTTATTTTTATCTCATAGGATACTCTTTCGTTATTTTACCGTTCATTCAAATAAAAATATCTTTAGACAAATATGTATCAAAATAAGACTTTTGGAGATGGCGATGCATATTATGTAAAATGTCGAAACACAAATCTTGGTCTATACCATGAGTAAAAATATTTTGATATATTTATTTTCTAGCACTTAATTCAAAAATGTTACTTATTCGATTAAATTCTACAATGCAACGTTAACATTTGAAATATTCCCATTTCACATAAACCAGTCATATCCATATTATTCTCGTGGAAAAATCATTACAACCCATTGCGTCCGTATATATGAATTCGCTGTTTAAACAACGGCCGGTGTTTAAAATAAATTTACTTTGAAAGTAAAACAAAACGACATAATATTGTAAATATTTTTACAAGAAGCTCTAAACACTTTCGATATTTCGCGATATCTGAAAAAAAATCCCGCCATCAGTCATTACTGTCAAAATTATGTTAATAGATACAAATAATCATTAATACCTTTTCCAGATTTAAGCGATAAGCTTATGACGTACAACTTTAATGAACTCGTTGCATGTTTAATTGTTATTTATATGAATGTTGTGAATTAAAATTGAATTGTATAGAGTAGCTGCCACTTTCTATTAAAATATTTAGTGGAATAAGCTGGTAATTTTAAATAAGAGCAGTAACTGACAGTTCAGACAAAAAAGCTATGATTACACATTAAAAACGTGTTTTAATGTGTGGTACTCAAAATTAATATATAATAATAATAATAATAAATATTGGGATACCAAATAAAAATAACCTGGCAACCACATACACTGATAAAATTACAAAATATAGAGATTTATCAATAGAGCTCAAAACACAGTGGCATATAAACACAGTCAAAACAATCCCAATCATTCTTTCAACCACTGGAGTCATACCAGTCACGCTACACACCAGTATCAAACAACTCAATCTTCACCCACTCATATTCAGCTACAAAAAGCTGTTATCCTCAACACTTGTCGCATTGTTAGAAAATTCTTAGCAATGCAATAATAGATAAAAAATTAATATCACCTCTCTAACGTTTGACTAACGTCCGCGTTAGAGAAAAATAAACCCCAGCAACGGGAGAATTGAATGAAAATGAAAAAAAAAAAAAATAATATATGCTTATAGCAATATTTAAATATCGCTTCACAGATAATCATTTAATTAGAACAAAATCATAGAGGTCAATCTGTCCATCATTTTTTAAATTAATTTTGTAGTCTATATCTATATCAATATATTATATTCTATATCTATATCAATCTGTCCATCATTTTTTTTATAAATCTTGTTAATATATGTATTACTATTGTCTAAAATTGCTATATTTCATCATTATGATTTTTATCATTCAGGTTTGTGCGACATAGAAGGTAACATTTTTATGAAACCTAACAACTACCATAAGTTGTTAGAGCGTTCATACCTGGTCATATACATTTACATACATGATTGTAGTTTACTAGTAACAAGCTCTCTGTTCCGTTAGGCGTGGGTATTTTTTTTACCAGAATAACAAACACAGTTTAATATACTGGGTTAAAAAGTAAAAACTATCTTAATCCAGGACTTATTATTATCTCCACACCACATTTTACTCAAAATCATTATGCCGTTACAGCCGTTAAAGAAATAGAATATATACCTATTGACGACACGTTTGGCTCAGTATGTAGTGATCCTACTTCTTGTGCCAGCGGTCGCAGGTTCGAGTCCCGCTGGGGGCATTCATTTGTGTAGCACGAATGTTTGTACTCCAGTTATGGGTGTTTATATTTATAATATGTATGTATTTATAATTATTTATGTGTAGTGTATCAACTATCTGGTATCCATAACATAAGCCTCGTAGCTTATCATGGAACTATATGGTGATGTGTGTTAATGTCCCAACATATTTATTTATTTATTATTATTTATTTATTTACTCACTCTCAATCTTTCAAAGTCGCAATAACTATAGTCCGCCATGTTGGATTTGAAAATATACTATGTTATTTTCGTACCTATTGATAATAATAAGAAACGTCAACGTTGATACCTATAGAACTTTATTAAGGGGTTAATGACCACCAAATATATATATACATATATATATATATATATATATATATATATATATATATATATATATATATATATATAATTAAGACGTAGAAACTCGCGACTAAGATGTATGTTCGTCAATGATTCTATATATTATGTATGTGAGTTAGCATGATATGACAATATTAATATTTTAAGCACATAACGAATTATGTTTATCTGTTTTTCTTTATGCGGAAATCGATAAAATCTCAGTTGTAGTTGTATACAGATATGCAAGATGATTATTGCTATAGTATTTGGTTAAAATATGTTTGTTGTAAAAATATGTTAACAGAACAAATTGAAATATTTAAATCCATACTAATATTATAAATGTGAAAGTGTGTTTGTTTGTCTTTCTTTCACGTCGAAACGGCTTGGCGGATTGGCGTGATTTTTTGTGTGGAGATAGATGGAGGGCTGGAGAGTGACAAAGGCTTTTTACCGCGGGAGATTATCTTATTCCCATGAGAAAACACGTTATAATACAATCCAAAAAAATATTTATGATCAAAATTACTTCAAACTTGGTATAAATGCTCTTCAATACAATATTTATAATATGTATAATAGAGAATCCACTATCTGGTATCTATAACACAAGCCTCGTAGCTTACCATGGAACTAGATGGTGCTGTGTTAATGTCCCAACTTAAAAAAAACTAATAATAATTAAATACGTGTTTTAGCATTTTTCGAAATTCATCCCACAAGGGGGTAAAATAGCGGATGCAAGTTTGTATGAAACCTACTATTTTAGGGTTTTTTCTGGATTTGTTTTAGCGCGAGCGAAGCTCTGCTAGTTAAGAATAAATTTTAACACATTTTTTTAACTAAAACAAATCGGTGGGAGCTCTAAAGGAAAGTTTAGGCTGAATTTACCCGTTCAACGTTTCTCACGCCCCGCTCTATTGCTCCATTCAAACTCTACTGTCTTCAACCTACTGAATGCATTTGTGTACTGTTTTAATATAAATACTTTTTGAAAAGTTTATAAAAACTTTTCCAAAGCAAATCTAATGTATTTCGATACGTAAAATACATATTTACCTATTAGATATTCATATCTTAAAATATTGTCCGCTGGCACCGACTTCGAAAATATCTGATTAGGTATCTATTCTAAATAAAAACCCCCGTTTAGTTATTTTTTTACATTTTAGTGCCTGGAACTCGGTTTTTTTTTAAGTTTTTATTTTTCCATTTTTAGTGAAGACGTAATAAGCAGGTTATTTGTAAGAAGAAAGTATTTTAATAACATATCCGATTAAACAATTTATTTAAAAAATATATTTTTGATTTTTTTTAAAAACCATTCGACTGATTTCGATATTTATATGGGACCACCTAGTAAGTATACCCTTTGAAACAAAAAAAAATCCAAATCGCTTCAGGCGTCTTCAATTAATTGAGAAAATTGAGAAACTCCTCCTTTTTGGAAGTCGGTTAAAAATACAGTAGTTATGTAACGTGTTGTTAAAAGATATGTAATACATTGCAATTCATATGAATTACAATTTATTTCATGTATTTTAATGTGTATGATGATGACAATTATAAACTAACAGTATAAAAATTAGAAGAGTATTTGAGTACACAAGTACAAACAATTAATCAAATAATCAAATTGCAAATCTTTTAATCTTTAGTTTAATACCATAAGATATTAAGCGATTTATTTAATCAGATTTGGCATTTCCGTATTTATAGAAAACCGGGGGAGGCCCGTGACTTTGGTTGTGTAGAAAAAATAAAAGAAAAAAAAAACTAAAAGGAACTAGTAAATTTAATCTAAAAAAAATACTTATTAAACATATTTCGACTGGTTTCAGCTGCCAACGTCACTGAGACTAACCATGTGCACAGAAGATATTATACTCGTAGTACACATACACAAGTAAGCTCTCTATTCCCTTTATGTACTCTCAAATTCTGACGGGACCGAAACCGATGGGTACACCACCAACTTATGAACTCCGGACTGTCACTAATATTTTTGAAGTTATACTTCTTTTGGCACGTTAGAAAAAACAATATGAGATTATGATTCTTATAATTCGCGCACACACCGACAGCCAAAAAGCGACATGATGAAGTTAGCTGCATTCCTTTTACAGAGAGTTATGACATACGGGATGAAATCTTTAGCTATTTTTGTTCGGTTAGGCCAAAGCAGTGTTATACTGCTTTGGCTTGGCTTTCTTACGTGCGTACAAAAAACTACAAGTATCTATTATACTTGACCCGACCCTGTGCTCAATATCATACTGTTTCTTTTAATGTCATTTTCTTAAAAAAACCTTTTTTAATTTTGTTACTTAGAGGTATAAGAAATCCAAAATTTTAGACCAATATTAATAAATACATGAAAACCCGTTTAAATTTTCATATACTAAAATGACTTTCTAATTTTAATGTAATATTTACTAAAAATATATATATATATATATATATATATATATATATATATTATATATATATTAGCAGTTTTATTATGCAACTTTCAGGATCAATGAGTAAGAGGATCAACTATTATTTAATACTTAGTTTTATCTTATTAATGTTTCTTATATTTTTGATATCAAGTAATGGAAAGATTTTTAGAATTATAATTCAATGTAGGACGTGAATTATATTAGCATTTGGAATTTTTTTATCAAAGTGTCAGATATAAATCTTCATTATTATAAAGTATTAAGATATGGTAGTAACATAAGATAATACATTTTTAATTTATTAATTTAGCAATATTCAGGTTTATTCCGGAACTCTTATTATAAAGATTTTATTCATAATATTTTCCAAAGGCTACGGTGTATTGATACAGTTGATTACATTTTTATTATTATCTATATTATACTATCTAAATAGTTCTACAATAATGTATGAAGTCTGCCCGATTTGTTGATATTTATGATTACTGCTCCGCTCCCTCGAGTAGAAGCCTGATATTATATAGCCCTATAGCTTTTCTCAATAAACGAGATATCTAATGCAAAACGAATTTTTCTTTTTCAAAAATTTTTTGAATTTTTTTTAGTAGTTCCTAAGATTAGCGCATTCAAACAAACAAACAACACACACAAACAAGCAAGGAAACCAATATTTTAAAATTTGTTTGTTACAAAGTAACAATCGAATAAACAAACAAACAAATTCTGCCTCTTTATAATATTAGTATAGATTATACATAACTATATGTATATAACGGTAGGTACATATTATTAAACATAAAATAAATTTTGATTGGAATATAAACATAGATTTAATAAATGAAAAAAAAACCAGGGTTTTTAACCAACTATAAAGTATGGTCAAAGGGATCAATAAGAGTCCATACTCCAAGACTTTGCCAGTAGCCATTGAAAAGTCTCTTAGCTCTATCTGATGTAGTAGACTCATGACGTTCAGTAAAAAATTGTAATAATTTAATGTTGAATAAAATATTTTGAATTTAGAATTTTTTGAACATCATTATAGTTTAGACTACTCATTTATAAAAATCTAATAAAATATTAATCTATACTAATATTGTAAATATGAAAGTTTGCAAGAATGAATGGATTTTTTTTTTTTTTTTAATCTATTTTTATTTAGGGACTTCTTAGCAACAAAGCTAAATGTCAGTCCCATCGTTCCCTTAAGACATGTATACCACTAATAATACTAGTACCTCTAATTATAACTTATTTTAACTTAAATTGATATACAGTTTTGGCTATCTCTGAGTTAGGTTTAGACAGTGCGCTTTGAAAAACTCCCACATCATTCCAGCAAACGTTAAAACGGCGCATCAACTCCTGTCTCCTATCCGCGTTACGAACACATTCCACTAAGAAATGATGCACATCTTCCTCTACACCGCATAAATCACAATTTGGAGAATTAGATTTTTGAATGAATGGATGTTTGTTACTCTTTCACGCCAGAACGGCTGAAAGGATTTGTATGAAATTTGGCAACGTAATATATTATAGTCTGGAATAGCATATAGGTTACTTTTTATTCTGGAAAAATGTACGGTTCCCGTTGCATAGATTTGTTTTTGTCTAGGGACGAACCGAAGATACGAGGGTGTGTCGCTAGTAATACAACAAAACCGGTTTAGAATAGACAACATTATCATATAAAAAATTTACTTATCCAATTCAAAACCTTCGGCTTTATGAAGTCGGTTAAAAAAGTTGATGAATATTGGTTCTACTTACAGCTCTCTCCATATCTGCATACATAACGCTCCTGGGCGGGCGGCGGCGGCGGCCAGCGGTGGCGGTCATCATGCTGCCGGATGCTGGGCCCGGCTGTGACATCGTCCGCCGGCGAGCCGGGCTGTCTACTTCAGGAGATGACGATGAGGCTTTCACTGATGCATTGTGAACCTGATATTGGTACATATTAAAACTATTTTCTTTTTACACCGATGTATGGATTTGTACGAACTATGTATTAATGTACTTAATTATTATGTTAATTATATATAACTTTAATACTTCTAAACTTGAGTACCACTTGCATTTCCAATAACTATTCAACGACTAATTAATCAGCAACTTGTTGTCTATAGGATATGAGCAATCCAAACCGGTATGGTAAAGATTGATTCACAACCTAAACGTAAATCTTACACAATTTTACGAAAAACTCAGTTTTTTTTAAATTTTTTAACATAATTAATTATAATTAATAAATTTTAGTATTTGTTTAGCCTTATTGTATGTATATTTAAACCTAAACCTATCATAAGTCAATAATGATTAAAGATTTTTTAGAATTGACGAAAAACAATGAACGGTATCCATAGAACAGGTCCACTTGTAAATAGTAAGCTCCACTGTGCAAAATCCCCAACGTAAATTTAGTCATGTAACTGGATTGGACTGCGAGCTGCACACCGAATATTCTAGTCTAAATAAACTTAAAAAAGAAAAGCGACGGCAGGTCTATCTGTTCAGAAAAGTGGTTTATGCTACATCCGTTACCGAGCCACGCTATTTGCTATGAATATTGTACGTGCAATTTAAATTATAACTTTGATAATCTACCATCTTGTTATAAATGAGTATGTGTATTGCAAACAAAATACACATAATAACACAAATGTTGAAACTCAACAACAAATTATAAATATAAAAAAAAATAATAATACAAAAAAACAAAAAAAAAACAATATTAAGAGATGTTGGCTGAGTACAAGTCAGAATGTGAAGTAGAAATTAAAATTTTAATTGTATATCTATATATAAGAAAATGAATCCTATTTCCCTTGGTCACGCCATCACGCGTGAACGGCTGGACCGATTTAACTATTTTTTTTTGTTGTGTTTGTTATTGTCAGGAGGTTCTTATGAAAGAAAAAAATTAAAAAATTGCGCGGAAAATTATAAAATTTAAGAATACTTATTTAAGAATACTTAACAACCATATTAAAATTTATAGGGCTAACGCTAGGTAATAACTATTTATATATATTTAAAACGTACTTAGCGACAAACCCGAGCGAAGCGAGGGTGAGCCGCTAGTTATCAATAAGCACTTACTACATTTAAACAGCTCATCCACTTTCGTTTGAATTGAATGAGTTAATCCCATAAGAACTAGCATAATATAATATTACTAGCATTGCCCGCGGCTCCGCCCGCGTTCAGTTGACCAAAAACCAAATGTTTAGGTTTTACATATTAGTATACTCTTACATTGCACTTTTTGTATTTTTTCTCAGGAATGAGATATTTTCCCGCGGTAAAAAGTATCTTATATGTTGAGCCTGATAACCAGTTATCACCATACCAAATTTCATCAAAATCCCTCCAGTGGTTTTTCTGTGATGTGGTAACAGACAGACAGACAGACAGACAAAAATTCTAAAAACTATAGATTCGGCTTCTATATCGATAAAAATGCTTATTTCAATAAGATTTTCCAAAAAATATTTTATGTACGGATTCGGTTTAGTTACAATTTTATTATATGTATAGATGAGGAGCTAACATAAAGAAAATATGTAAATCATACATACTCCAGGGTCATTTTCATTTTCATTTCCATTTTCGTCTTGTTCACCAAACTGTTGCAATGAGGTTTCGGAGTGAAACTTTTTGTCACCTAAGTTTTTTCTATTCACAATTTCCTCGAGCATTTCCTTCTTTAACGTGCTTGGGTCAGCCATTTTAAATATGATTAAAATCGATTCAAATATAAATATTTTCAATCCACAATTTAAATAATATATTTATTTTATCTAATCATATTCACAATATGTTCACTTGGACATGTCCTTTGTATAAACAATCAAATGTACGATTCAGATCGCAAATGAATTAAAAAATAATAATTTTCGCTTATCTTGTGTTATCGTTAAAGATATATCAATAATAAGGGCGTAAGTATCATAACGTTATACTTTTTGAGTAACACTTCCTCTATTTATTGGATTATTAAAATTCCTTATTAAATGGACTACTATTACAAATACGAAAGTTTGTTTGTATGTGTATATGTTTTGGACAAACTTTAGTACATAAGACTTTGACTAGAGTGACATATATACCTAGATAACCTAAAGACGCACGCGAGCGAAGCAAGATAAAGTCGCCAGTAAATCTATACATATAATAAAATTGTAACTAAGACGAATCTGTACATTAGATATTTTTTGGAAAATCTTATTGAAATAAACATTATTATCGAAACAGAGGTCGAATCTATGGTTTTTGGAATTTTTGTCTGTCTGTCTGTCTGTTTGTTACCGCATCACAGAAAAACCACTGAAGGGATTTTGATGAAATTTGGTATCGTGATAGCTGGTTATCCGGGTCAGCATATAGGACACTTTTTGACGCGAGAAAATATCTAATTTCCGAGAAAAAATACAAAAACTGCAATGTAAGAGTATATTAATATGTGAAACCTAAAAATTTAGTATTGGTCATCAACGCGGGCGGAGTCGCGGGAATGCTAGTTATAAATACGTATGTAATTACTATTAATTAAGTTATCTTAAGAAATTTTTGAAAACGAAAACAATATACATAATACTTATGTAAAATTGCAGTATGAATATGACTTTATAATTAAGATTAAATTGATTAAAATTAGCAATCTACAATTAAAGAAAATGAGCTGAAAATGTATACTTTTATGCTACGTGTTATCTAAATAAAGTTATAATATGTTAGTCAGTGATACGGGGACTATACATAGTTTTATTATAGTGTATGTATTACTCAGAACACTTATTCTGTGTTTCAATGTAAAAAACACATGAACTAATGGCAAAGTTGGTTAAAAATTATATAGTTGTTAAATGTTATTAAATAAAACTATCTTTTCGGATTATTTCGCGGATTTATTTTGATTTTTGGTTCCCGACGTTTCGAATGCTTTACAGCATCCATGGTCACGGGAGAGACAGTCAGTCTCTCCCGTGACCATGGATGCTGTAAAGCATTCGAAACGTCGGGAACCAAAAATCAAAATAAATCCGCGAAATAATCCGAAAAGATAGTTTTATTTAATAATGTCAAACATTCGCGTAAATCTAAGAAAGTATTAGTTGTTAAATGATTAAAATTATAATATATGTTTATGACTAATATTAAGTTGTCAATAATATTATATCGGTATGGGATCTATGAAGTGTCTAAAGTGGATATTACTCATAAACTGTTTTTATTAATTGAAAATCTAAATATAATTTACATAACTAAAAATGTATAAGTTAAATAACATTGCTTTGTTAAAATTACAATTATTAACGAAACATCTTTTGATTGATTTAAGTAGTAATTGGTTTGATTTAAGTAATTAAAGTAAAAGGTTCTTTAAAAAAGGTAATTTTAGATAATGATTTCATTATATTTATCTGTACTATCGATACTATTATTATAAAGAGATAAAGTTTGTGAGTTTGTGAGGTTGTAGGGGGTAATCTACTGAGCCGCTTTAGATGAAATTTGGTAAGAAGATAGTTTGAGACTCTGGGTAGGACATAAGATACTTTTTATCTCGGAAATCATCCCTTAAGGGTGTGAAAATGGTTGAAAGTTTGTATTTCTAAGCGAGGGTGAGTCGCTAGTTATTGATACCGGAACAAATTATACATGAAATAGGGATAACAAACGTAAATATAAGATGTGTCTGTCTATTATGGTTTTTTAAATTTTTGGGAATAATATATCCACTTTTATATGAAAATAGAGTAAGCTATTAAAATTTTAGAACGAATAAAGTCGGTATTATAAAAACAAATCATTTATAAATAAAGTTTATTACTATAAAATTTAACACCATTACTTATACGAGTAGAAGTATAACAAAGAATACGATTATTATTCGTTTAAAAGTTTGCTGAGAACTTCTTTCAGTTCCAAAGAGAAATCTGAAATAGGCAAAGCCAACTCTTGGGCAGAAGATGAGCCTTTTAATTTCACAACATAGTCTGAGGGCACAACAAAAGGTAGTTTCTTCTCTCCTGGATCTTCGAGGGACTTTAAGAATGGAGGCATCGCCAAGTGCGGTCTCTTCTGTAGCCAAACATGGAAAGCTTTTGTTGATCTAAAATAGAAAAGGCATTCAGTATAAGAATAATTTACGTTAATTTTATTATTATTTAGATTACAAGGACTCAAAGAAGTTGCGTTATTATGAATTATAAACATACTTTATATAAAATAATTCATAAAGAAAATATTTTCTATAATTAATTATTGAAAATCTAATACACTGAATGGTCGAATAGTTTAATATTGGACAAATTTACTAAATAATGAGTTTTCTTAATTATACCGTTTTATCGCAAGCGAAAATAGAACTCCTATACTAAATCTCGAGATTGATATAATAGATTTTTTGTCAATCAGTTATAACATTCTTCAGCTACTTCCCTAGTGGTTATTACTATTTACTGGTTTATATAGTACTAGCGACTTACCCTGGCTTCGCTCGGGTCCGTCCCTAGCTTAATTCCCCATACAAACTTTCATCCTCATTTTCCTCCCCTTAAGGGCTGATTTCCGGGATGAAAAGTATCCTATGTCCTTCCCCGGGTCTCAAACTATCTTCTTACCAAATTTCATCTAAATCGGTTCAGTAGATCCAGAGATTACCCCCTACAACGTCACAAACTCACAATTCACAAACTTTACCACTTTATAATATTAGTAGGTACAGATAGGAAAAACGTAATACATAGATTAAAATATTAATAATATTCTTTAAAATATTTGTCTTAATTCTGTATCAAAGTGCATGTTCTAAATACTCACGTTAAATGTTGGATATCGTCCCAGACACAGGACATAGACCGTAGGTCTTGAGGTATTTTGACACAATGCCATATCTCCTTTGTGTTATTCTTTGGTGGGATGTGTTTCATATGCTGCGGGAGACATGTCCCGAATGCCTTGGAATGCAGCGGACTTGTTTCCGCGTGAATGTCAAACGCAATCTGCCGTTTCAGTACTTTCGGACATGATGCCTGTGGAATATTATACATAAACTAAAGTCAACGATTGTGTATTAATTGAAAATTTCTGGCAGAATTGTAATCGAAATTTTAGAGGTAAAGTATGAATTGAAATATTATCCTTCTATTATTAATATACAGTAAACTATTTATATGTATATTTAGCATAAAGACTACCGATATAAAAATGTAAAATTAAGTACCTTTTTGACACCAACGAAATCAGCAATGCTTTGGAGTACACAAGGAAGTATTTTGGGATCCAAAACCAAACCACGAGAAGCATGTTCATCGAACCAAACCTAAAAATATAATTTTCATGGAATTATTTAAAAAAAAATATCTCCTAAAATGTATTATATGTATTGCTCTGAAATTAAAAAGTTATTTCTTAAAGTATATTGAATGTAATATATATACTTGGTTTTTGTAAACGGAACTTTTATACTTTTGTAAGTAACATAAATTTAATTTTTCATGCCTACAGGACCCTCGGTGTACGATTTAGCCTCACACTTGCAGACACACAGACACACATTTTATTTGCTTTCAGATAACCTACACAGTACATCTAAATAAGTATTGAGATACAAAAACGTTGCTGGTCGTATTGTTGTTACTATGTGATATTATACCAAAATAGAACTTAGTTAACCGAGAGCGTGGCACTTAAACGTGAGCGTTCAGTACAATGTATTTATACAGAAGGTACTAAGCACGATAAGTTTACTGGTGTTAGATAACTGTGTATAAAAATTTAAATTCTTCAAGGTTAAATAAAAATTGAACGTACTTGAAATAAGTCTTCAATATCTTCTGGTCGTTTTATTTCGCTCTTGAACTCTACATTGCCTAAGTCGACCCACCAATCGAAAAACTCTTTAGCTATCTGGTAAAAATATTTGCAAATTTATTTTTGATTTTTTTGTGAATGTATTTATATGATTTATTTTGAATGAATTGAATGAAAATTTTGAATGAATTTTTATGATGTAAGTTTGAAATAAATTAAATAACTAAAAACGTGTTTGATGTAACTTTGAAATAAATTAAATAATTAAAAACGTGTTTGATGTAAGTTTGAAATAAATTAAATAACTTAATAACCTTAAGTTTCTGATTTTAAAGTATCCTAAAACTATTGTCACTCTTGCAGGATAATCGGAAAGAACAAAGTCTCAATCACTATGATCCACTATGAGGTCACAAAATTTTTTATTATTTTTATATATACCTTTTTAGTTAAAATTTCAGCTCTCTTACTAAACTCATCAGAAGCGGACACTTCAAAAGTTTTCTGTTTATATTTTGAATTCCACTTTATCATATCTGTTTCTGATTTATTACAGTACAACATTTCAAAGTGTGGGTTTTTCTTGAGTTTTTGGAAAGGAAATCGCCTACGATTATTATCATTATACTATATCATCACGTACACAATAAAATCATTTAAAATCTAGTTTATAAACGGTAGCATGTCAAAAGGGACCAAATTATGTTGCTTGATTAAAATATTACGTTAAATAAAGTAGAAAGGCCAGTTTTACATATGCTTAGCAGAATACTGTCAATAATCAATATTCGATATTGTTAGTTGTTACCCTTCCTTAAACTTTCGATAATGCTTTAGAATTTGTTAAAAAATGAGTTTAACTACGCTTTAACTCGTAAACTATTCATCTAATTAAAAATGTTTCGTACAAAATTTACATGACTTTTTTTGCAATCTCTTTAATATGGACTTTATCAATTGTATCGAAAATTATAGATTACAATGTTAGAAATATAGTTGTTACCCAGAAAAGATTATTTTCCATTTAACTGTGCTATCCTTTCACTTAAAACTGTAAGCTTTAGATTAGCAATAAAATTTCAAACATTTTTTTTTTAAATATGTTGGGACATTAACACACAGCACCATCTAGTCCCATGGTAAGCTATGAGGCTTGTATTTTGGGTACCAGATAGTTGATACACTACACATATATAACTTTAAATACATACATGTTATAAATATAAACACCCATGACTGGAATCGTCGTCGGTCGCGTGACGTTCAACAGGTCACATCGTTTTAATAGACTCTAACGAATAAGTACATGAAAAAGTTATTTAAAGTGAATAAAGAACTACATACTTTGTGTGAAAGTGAAGTTTTAAAGTTAATCTAGCTAGTGAAATAAAAATAAGCCGCAGTGCTATCCAATATTACACAAAAACTAAAAAATAAAAGTGCAATAACAGCTGTTTATGGGAATAATAACTTTACTCGTCGGTAGACATAAATAAAATGTACACCGAAAAACAACATAATCAATAGAACAGAAATTTCGCAGTCTTAATTAACGATTCGTTAGCCTAGCGTTGTAAGACGCACAGGTTATATTCGACGCTCCTTGGTTCAATCCTTGCATTACCAACAAAAAATATTTTTCTATTTTATCTTATGTTCTGGAGTTAGAATTAAATTTACAAACATGCCTATCACTTGTGAAGCTTGCAAAGAAAACATAAATGTAACGCAAAAGCGAATTAAATGCACGATCTGCTTTTCTACCTATCATTCGGAATGTGTAAAATATGGAGAGAACTCGGCTATCCGAGCTAGTTGGAAATGTCCTAATTGTATAGTATCTCAATGCAAAAGCCACAACACTAACACGCCTCTTCCACCAGAGAAAAAACAACAGATTAAAAATCAACGAATTAATGATACCCATACGATTGCATCTCAGTCTACACAGGACATTACACCATCAAACACATTAAATTGCTCAAATCTCATTCGGTCACTTGAAGAAATGCTGGACAACAAATTAAAGATTGTAAAAGAAGAACTTATCGAACAACTAAAGGCAACTATTTTTCTGGAACTTAAAAATGAAATATTAGCACTTACCAGTTATACTTCTCAGCTTCAAGAATCTTACAATAATATACAATTAGAAAATGACAATATAAAGAAAGACTTAGAGTTGCTTCAAAACCGCGTCAGTACAGCAGAAACTCAAGTACTGGAACTCCGTTCCCAAATAGGAAAACAACAACAAATTGCTAGACTAAATAATCTAGAGGTGTTAGGATTACCACAGATTAGTAACGAATGTCCAACTGACTTAATAATTAAAATTGCCAAACATGCAGGCGTAAACCTCGAAGAAAAAGACATTGAATTTGCACACCGTGTCCAACCCTTCACAAAAGTGCAGGGAAGACCAAAACCAATAGTAACTAAATTAAAAGACCGCAAGCACAAAGATGCAATATTATCTGGTTTACGAAGACAGAAGGGTGTAAACACTTCGGATATTGGTTTAGGAGGAAAAGACAAACGGATATATGTGAATGAACACCTAACACCGGAAAACAAGTTGCTATTTAAGAGAGCTAAAGTTATAGCTAAACAAAATGCTTTTAAATTCGTATGGGTTAGAAACTGCAATATTTTTTTAAGGAAAAACGAGGAGTCGCCAGTCATATACATCAATTGCGACAAAGATTTAAGCAAAATTACTTAGAACTTCACAGAAAATTGATTCTCATAGTATTTTTTATAAAACTTATTTTCTTCTTTTTTGTTAAATTAGATATCTATAAAAGCTATTCACAAGGTGTACCACACAAAACCCCTTACTCCCTTTCACACACACACAACTTCCTACAATTCATTCAAAATCAATCACACATCAACCTACCACTCACACACAAAACATCTTGCTCTCTCATTTTCTGCTCATGGGATTGCACAAAAATTTTGGCATCCTCTACCTCATATTACAATAATTGTTTATTATATTTTCTTACTCAAATATTCATTATAAATGGCGACTAAATCTATTGAAATGCTTTACCAAAATACTCGAGGATTACGAACCAAAACACAACAATTTAAACAAAACATACTAAATAATGAATTTGATTTAATATTAATTACAGAATCCTGGCTATGTCAGAGTATTTATAATGGTGAAATATGCGATGATAGATATGACATCTTTAGATGTGATCGACACAAAGGCACATCCCTGAAGGAAACGGGCGGAGGAGTTATGCTATGTGTATTGAAAAAATTTAAAGCACAACATAAACAGGATTGGATGTGTAATGGCGTGGAATCATTATGGATAACTTTACCCCTTAATAAAATGAATAGCTACGAAAATGAAAATAAAAATATTCATATTGGTTTGTTCTACGCCCCACCAGACAAGATGTTGCCCAGTAGGTTGGAAGCAATAACTGCTTGCATTGCCCAGGTAATATTGATCCATCCTCACGATCATTTTTTTATAGCAGGTGATTTCAATCTATGTAATACTAGGTGGACTGAAAATGGACCTATACATACAAGCTACAGTTCTGCTTCCTTATTAAATGCGGCCATGGACTTTTTAGATATGTGCAATTTAAATGGACTCAAGCAATATAATAATATACTGAATTCAAACAATAAAATTCTCGACCTTATCCTTGCGAATACACATATTAATGTATCTCATTCCGAGACTCCCCTCGTGATGGAAGATGCACATTACCCATGTCTAGAAATAAGCTTAACAAATCTAAATATACGCACTTTTCGCCACAAACCCAGTAGCAAACCTAACTTTTATAAAGGTGATTATGAAAAAATTAATGATCATTTGCTTAATATTAATTGGAACCTAGCCTTACAAGCGCGGACAATAGATGACGTCATGGATACTTTTTACACTATATTATATAATTTAATATCTGAATACATACCTAATAAAAATATTAACTCTTATAAATTTCCAGTGTGGTATACAAAAGCGTTAATTCATATAATCAGGGATAAAAAAAGAACCCATAAACGTTGGAAAACCTATAATAACCCTCGAGATTACGATGAATTTGCTTTGCTTCGAACAAGACAGAAATCTAAGCAAATAGAATGTTTTGAAAAATATACTTTGCAAATGCAAGAATATATCAAAAAAGAACCTAAACTTATTTTTACATATTTGAACTCATTAAAACACAACAAAAGTAGCTATCCTAATACTCTTACCTACGAGGATAATATTTACACCGAAGAGACCGAAGCTTGCAATGGATTTAGTAGGCATTTTGACAGTGTATTTATGAAACCTGCTTCATCATATAAAGACTTAGATCTACAAACGAATAACGTAAATGATTCGATTTCTGGGTTCATCATAACTGAATGTACTGTTTTGAAACAATTAACAATGCTTAACGTGAGTAAAGGCCCTGGAAGCGATAACATACCGCCTATATTTCTTAAAAAATGTGCAAAAAGCTTGGCTAGACCCCTTACAATTATTTTTAATTTATCTATAAATACTTTTGGTTGCTTTCCTACAAAATGGAAAGAAGCATTAGTAGTTCCAATTCATAAAAGTGGATCAAAATCTTTAATAACAAATTATCGACCTATTTCTATATTAAATGTCATGAGCAAAATATTTGAGAAAATAATACGTGATAAAATTAATTTTAATATTAAAAAATGCATTCCTATCGAACAACATGGATTTATGCAAAGACGCTCTACAGTGTCGAATTTAGGAGTTTTCACTGATTACGTCCTTAAAGTCATGGATGAAAAAGATCAAGTTGACGTAATCTACACTGATTTCGAAAAAGCTTTCGATCGAGTTGATCATGTAATTTTATTGCGTAAACTTGATCTACTGGGTATACATGGAAATCTGTTAAGATGGTTTTCGTCATACGTTAAAAATAGAATGCAGGCAGTTAAAATGGGAAGTGCTAGGAGTAACTTCTTAAATATATCATCGGGAGTACCTCAAGGCTCTATCTTGGGACCTCTTTTATATAACGCATACTTATTTGACATAAGTAACTGCTTTAAGCACTCTCGCTTCCTGATGTTTGCTGATGACAAGAAAATATTCCTCAGAGTTCGTACTATTGAAGATTGCAAAAAAGTACAAGCAGACTTAGATAGGCTAGCTACCTACTATGAGACAAATAGAATAACGATAAATATTAATAAATGTCATCATATTACGTTCACCCGAAAACTTAAACCTATTGACCACACTTACAGTATTAACGGAGCAACAATTGGCAAGGTCTCATCAGTGAAGGATTTAGGTATTACATTAGACCAAAAATTAACATTTAGCGAACATTATGAAATTATAATCAACAAGGCTTATAAACAACTCGGGTTTATTAAGCGTGCAACCTCTAGTTTTAAAAATATAGAATGTATCAAAATGCTTTATTTTGCATACATACGAAGTCTACTAGAATATGCCAGTAGTATTTGGTCACCTTATCATAAATCAGATATACAGAGAATCGAAAAAATTCAAAATGTATTTGTAAAATACTTACAATTTAAAAATTACAAAAAATTTGATACAGATCGTGATGCATATGAATATTATCATATAGAAACTCTCGAAAGTAGACGAGCACAAAGCGATATGAAATTACTGCACGCAATATTAAACAATAAGACTGATTGCCCTGAACTTCTATCAAACATATCCTTTCAGGTTCCAAAGCAGCGAACGCGCCATACACCCTTGCTATATGTACCTCCTACTAAAACCCAATATGCCAAAAATGCCATCTTAACGCGATCAGTTAAAATTTATAATGAACAATACTCTGATTTGGATATATTTAAGTTATCTGAAGTAGTCTTTAAAAAAGAGATAAAAAAAAGAAGTATAGCCATTAAGTCATAATACGTGAGCAGTCATTGATTTGTTTATTTTAAGTAATAATAATAGAATTTATTATTTGAGCATACACACACAACTTCACACAATACACACACACACACACACACATACACAGACACACACACACACACACACAAGCACACACGCACACATACACCTTTATATTTTTACCTTTGCACCAATATAATAGATATTATCTTTAGATCTAAAACATCTTTTGAATATCTACATTTTATTTTACCATTTTGATGCCTGTTGTTCATTATTATAGTATTTTTAGTGTAATCTAATTTTGGCCTTATTGTAACTCTCCTTTGTGTACAATGTGCAATCTTAAGTAATACTGTAACGCTGTTTGATTACCAAATAAATAAAATAAAATAAAAATAAAATACAAACATTCGTGCTCATCACACAAATGAATGCCCCCAGCGGGACTTAAACCCGCAACCGCTAGCACAGCAAGTAGGGTCACTACAAACTCAGCCAAACGTGTCGTCAAATAATTACTAACTTGCTTCTTATCTATGTCATTGTATGGAAAGTTTCAATCCAAGTACCAACCAGAATAATTTTATATATTTCATAGAAAAAGCGAAGCGTCAGTGTAGTCAGTCCGTGAGGAAGCTACCGCGGTAAAAGATTTTTTTAAAAATTTAGACTATAGAGAGAAATAATTTAAACTTACGTCTTAAGAATAGTTAAATTTTTAAAGTTTGACAATTACAAGAACTCTTATAAAAATCCATAGGAACTGTTTTAAATATTTGACTTCAGTAAAAACATTAAACTCCTTTTTTAGCCCTTACATCTGCGCAAAATTTTAAAATTACCCAACTAATGAATAAGTAACTAAATACATAAAGAAACTAAAAAAAATATTTTACTATTTATTTTAAGCGAATAAAGAGTCTACCTCCCTGTTGAAAAACTCCAATAGGATCCCATCAAAAGCGACAAAAGCCACATAGAAACCAATAATTGTTTATTGGTTTCTATGTGGCTTTTGTCGTTTTTGATGGGATTCAATTGGAGTTTTTAAATAGGGCTAAGAGATGATTTTACTGTGCAATCAGGTAATGATTCATTTACTTTCAAGAGACTTACTTTTTTGATCGTGTACTCATTTGTACTTTTAAATCATCTAAAGTCGATGCTGGTTCGTCAATGCTAGAGGGACTAGATTTTAGCATTCGAGAGTGTCTAGTACATGATTTTTTGGACATCACACACTTTGATAGGGACTTAGTCGCAGATTTCGATGTACTCGATGATTTAGATCTAACAATAGATTTAGATCGGGACGTCTTTTTTAGCTCAGAAGACGATGATGAAATATTCCAAATCTCAGATTGTTCTGCCGCTTTTTCTTCTTCAGATAAATCTTCATATAACGACGAATCAAAATCACTCATTGAAAATGATGATCGCATTGGAACCTTAAATTGCGAGAAATTGATCAAATTATAGACAATATACTATTACGATAATATACTAATATTATAAAGAGGTAAAGTTTGTGAGTTTGTAAGTTTGTTACTTTGTAGGGGTATTCTTTGGATCTACTGAACCGATTTATATGAAATTTGGTAAGGAGATAGTTTGGGACCCTGGAAAGGACATAGGATACTTTTTATCCCGGTAGTTATCCCTTAAGGAGGTGAAAATAGTGAAGAAAGTTTGTATCAGGAAGCAAGCTAGAGACGAACCCTAGCGAAGCGAAGGTGAATCGCTAATGGCTTAATATATGTGTTAATCTGAGTATTTCATGATATTATTATTAACACCTCGCGGTTAAATTCTGAAGATTGAGATGAATGATGAGATGAAGATTCTAAGAGCCACCTGTGGCTCCGCGTGCTTTGAAAGGTTAAAAATCTGTTCAAAGCGTATTCGTGACTACGTTTAAAAGCAATTATTAGTATATTTAAAAGTTTTATGACTATAATATTATTATATTAATATATTCACATGTTAAATAGTCAAGCATAATTGTCTGTTTTAAAGAAATACACTAGATTTAATATGTATAAGTTACAATTTTATACTTTAGAGGTACTCGTCATCTGATAGAAGAGTTCTGAAGGTTCAAGGGATGTTTCTGATCGTGGTTCATAAGATTTTTGATCCAGATTTAAATTAAAAATTTTTGTAATTCTGTTAAATATTTTTGGTCCAACTAATTCACGGACGGTTTCTCCTTGTGATTTCCAGAACTGTAAATAAAAGTGCAATTTAATTAGAATTATTGTATAATTTAAAGACTGCTTCGCTCTGGATGGCGAATGAAGGCAAGTTACAAAATGTTGTATTTCCTTCGATCTCACATCATTGTTGCCTCCACTCACCAATATTTTTCCACGAGCTACTTTCCTTTTTTAACCGACTTCCAAAAACGAGGAGGTTCTCAATTCGTCGGAATCTTTTTTTTATGTATGTTCACCGATTACTCGAAGACGCCTGAACCGATTTGGAAAATTTTTCGATGCCGATGCCAACGAACAATATTTTAAGATATGAATATCTAATAGGTAAATTTGTATTTTACGAATCAACACATACTAGATTTCATATGCGTCGGCTACCACCGACTTCGAAAATATCTGATTAGGTATCTATTCTAAATAAAAACCTCCGTTTAGTTATTTTTTACATTTTAGTGCCTGGAAAATGGGTTTTTATTATTTTTTTAAAGTTTTTATTATATGATACGAAATACGTGCGTCATTTACTGTAGGTGTCAAGGGGTGCCTTATTTTTTCCAATTGGTACATGAAAAACAACTAGGTATAATGTAATCTTGTATGGACATACGGACAGACTTTTACGGCATGCGATTTTGCCCGAGATGACCAAGCAAAGAATTAGTACTTTTAAAGTAAAATACATCCTCTCTTCATTTCATCACTGTTTTAAAATGTTTAATTCTATGTACCGTTTCATCTTTATAAGATAGTTCCAAATTACGGATGACATTTTTCCAGTGAACTCTAACTGATGCTTCGTTTTGTTCGTACCGAGACGGCTTTATGATTCTTAAATTTTTGGGTTTATCCCATTCTTTAACTAGCGGACGATTTCCGCAAGACATATTTGGAAGCTAAAAATTAAAGATTATTTATCTAAAAAATATTGATTTGTAGACGTTTTTCAGGATAAAATGTCAATTTTTTTTTAATAATAGATATATAAGTATTTTACAATATTTATTATCATACCAACAAAATGTTTAAAAATAATATAATTTATACAGGAAATAGAAAAAAAATGCTTAAAAATATAATATGTTTTAAATTTATTATTTTTTATTTATTATTAACACGATTTAATAAATATTTTACAACATTGTAAAATTTTTAAGTGCACTGCCATCTATGATTTGAATGTGAAACTACCACGTAGTCTTGCCAAAGCGACTATCAATTGTTCAGTACAAAAGACAGGAAGGTTTATTCTGGTGTTGGAATTTAAGTAGTAGTGTTATAGATTTTATATAGATGGCGGCAAAATATTTTATTTAAATTAGTGACATTAAATTATTACACAAGCAGCAAATTATTTAAATTCATTTGTGTATTATATTGTAGATTCGTAGAATACCACGTTATCAGTAAGATAAATGATTTGTTTTTGAGTATAATAATGTTAATAGATAAAATTTGGTACATGTTCAAGTTCTTTACAAGCTCTACATGCGTGATATATTTTAAAAAACAAATATTTCACTACTTCAGAAGTGCTTGTGAAAACCTTATTGTTAAATTTCTTTTCCAATATATCATTTTCAATCAACATTATCGTCAATGAATTTAACCGGTTTTGAGATATTGATAAACAAAGACAGTTTTTCATTATTTTTATTTCAAAAAGTCACTTTCACCCATGGCTTAATTAATCATATAACATAATATATACATGTATAATGGCTTCTATATACATTCAAATCTTCAAATTAAATGTTCACTCAAAGAAATATTGTCAAAAAAAGTTTCTGTATTGGAGTGAATAATTTTTTTTTATTTCTGTACTAAGTATACTGTATACATATTAAATAGGTTATGTGCGCGTAATATATCATTTAAGTACTCTAAAATTACATTCTAACATCACCCAATAAGTGACGCTATTCGCATACTTCCATTCTTACAGACTTTGATAACATTGATAGCTTTGATAATATTGAGTATGACTTTGTGTCATAATATGCATATTACAGACTAGCATTTCCCGCGGCTCCGCCCGCGTTCAGATGACTAAAAACCAAATTCTTAGGTTTTACATATTAGTATACTCTACATTGCAGATTTTTCATTTTTTCTCAGAAATGAAATTTCAAAAACCATATAAAAATAATAAATAGCATTATAAAGAATCCTTTTTCTTTATTAGTCTTATTTTAAAAACCTTCAGCTCTTTTATGCTGACAGGTTGTGCCAAAATCAAAATGCCGGTTAGTCTAAATTAATTTATTTTAAATTTATTAACTAAATACTTATAAATAATATAATTTATCTCTTAAAATAAAAAATAAAATTAATCTATACGTTGTAAAAAAAAAAATACATTTTTAATATATAATATTATTTTTTAGTTTTCCAATTTGTTCGGCTTCTTCGAAAGTATCTGCTACTTTTAAACCTCGAGTTTCAGGTTGTGTTAAAATTAAAAGGCCAGCTATGGCCGCCATTACTGCAAATAGCATAGAGGGAATTCCCGACCAATATACCATTAAAGGAGGAGTTAAAGGCGACAAAACTGAACCAATACGACCTAGCATTGAAGAGAATCCTAGAAAAGAATGACGATGTCTCGTGGGATATAATTCGGAAGTGAAGAGATACAGTGACGTGAATATAACTCCTGTACTAAATTTTCCGGTTAAATATAGAAACAAGGATAATACGTACATGTCGTCTGGTGTAAACGAAAATGCAATACAACATGCTGAACATAGCATGTAACCTGTAAAGAGAGTGACTTTACGCCCTACTCTGTCTAATATTAAATAAGCTGTCCAATAACCAGGTATTTCGATAAGGCACGTTAAAACATAATTTAAATACATATTGCCTGATAAACTAACTGAGTTGATAGATAAACCGTAATAAATAAACGTAGTTGCTATCCAATACACGGGTGTAGTAAAACATCTACGTAACATTACAGGTGATTTTAAAACCCGAATGAATAACAGTTTGCTGCTTTTATCTGATTTCTCATTAGTCTGTTGTGGAATTGCTGTGAGAAGAAAATTCATTGCAGTGTCAGATATTTTTCTTCCATTTAATCGAGCCGCATTTTCTAAAACTATTTTGGCTTCATTATTTTTGTTTCTGCTAAGGAGCCATCGGTGACTTTCTGTTACAATCCAATAATAAATAAGTAACGAAAATATAGGAGTAAATAGTGTTAATGTTAGCTGACGCCAGTCGGGTATAGCCGATGCAATTGCACCTAATATAGCTTGACCTAAAGCAAACATAGACGACATTGTAGCACTCGTCGGAACGCGGAATTTTGAACCAACTAGTTCAGTTGCCAAGATATACGACGCACTATAAAGTCCACCGCCTATTGCTGTGTGTAAGAATTGTAGTGTAACATACATAGTATAATTAATAGAAAAAGCTTTTAACAGGCCCACTAAGGCGACGTTAAACCCGAAAAAGACAATAGAGCTACGACGTCCAAAATAATCAGATATGAAACCTGCTAAAGGTAGAGCGACCATTCCACCGAGACTATTTAAAGTCCCCGCCAGTGCTCTAAGCCACTCCTGGCATTCTAGACCGAAATCGTAAACAACTGTGTTTATTCTAGCGTACACGTATCCTTCACACGGAATAATCGTATTTCTGTCAAATAGGTCAGCGGGGCAAGTACTGTTTGCTAATAGTGTAGTGTTCGATAAGTATGCGTAACGAGAACAATCTTCGAATCCCGTTGACGTACTTGGAACAGCATTTAATATCCATTGGGGTGCATATTCTGGAGGTTGATCATCGCAAATGGAGATAGCGCATCGATGTGGTAGTTTTCCCGCTGTAAACACGTAGTCTCCAGCCATGAAATCCGACAGGGCAGCTGGGACGGTCAAAAGTAATATATTTATTAATTGATATTTTCCGAATTGTCCTATTTCACTATTTAATGCAGTCTCAAAGTCCATCTTTTTATCACATACACTGTCACTTCGCGTCATACTGAAAGTTTAATGTTGCCAATAGCTAAATAAGTTTGGTTTCTAATTTTAAAATTAAAACTTATTATTTAATGTTTCATAATAAGATGTTATGTCTATGGATTTTCAATTGTTAATAAAAAATATAACTAAGAGATATTATATATGTATAATGTATATATATCTACAATAAAACCTGTCGATCGTTATCTTTATACTAGGTAACTAAATAAAAGACGACCTTGTGAGATGACAAACGCGAAGATTGGCATATTATTTAAATATTTTCAATATGTTTAATGTTGTATTTCCGAAAACCGAAAGACCGCAGAGCTGGTACTATGCGGTTTTTCTAATTTTCATTTAATAAAAATAAAAATATGAAAATATTTTTAAGATTCAGTGACTATTGACTAAGTTTTTACAATCATTCTGAATACAAATTTAATTTGAATTTTATAGCTATATAAATTTAAAACTTGGATTTCTTATAATAAATTAAAAATAATACGAACTATTTTTCGAAAATAATATTTTTTTTTGGTTACAGCAAACTACATATTATTAATAAATTATATAAAACTAACGACACGCCGGTCAACTATTACCTAGAAATGTTTGTTAAAAATAAACTAGGTACTTATTTAAATATAAAAATTTGAACATAATTACTAATATACGATTACGCACCTTTTTCATTTAAGTGCTATTTCCTACACCTCAAAGACTTAGCATTGCTTGGAAGAAATCGCTCTATTAGCGATAAGGCCGCCTCTTGTACATACGTTTTCCATTCATTCTGTATTTTTTTCTACATTCTTTTACGGGGTGTACAATAAAGGATTTTATTATTATTTATCGTCTGTTTAATTTGTTTTTTCTGAGAAAATTTACCATGGTAATGAATTTTTTTAACACCATCAGAAAGTAGAGATTATAAAGAACAAAAAGCCCACCGACTTTTTTTTTAAAAGCAGATATTTTGACACGAGAATTTTCGATTGAAAATTAGGGTGCTTTTTCGATATTAAGTAAAAATAAGATGAAAAAATAAATATTTTAAATCAAAAAATTTCAGTATGCTTGGGACATAAAGAGGACATTTTTCACCAAATTTCGTAAAAAGATTTTTTTTTTGTAAAAGATAAAAATAAAAAACCAAAAACTTGGTTATTTGAATTTTTCACATAAATATTGAGGTTATCTAAAAAAAGTGTAAAAACAAAAGTTGTATTACCTACAACTTTGCTATTTAACTTTTTTCCATAGGTCTTGTAGTTTTGCCGGAAATCAAGATAAACCGTTTTTTACCCTTAAAACTCACCCCCTCCCACTTCCCGACCTCAGATCACTCGTAAATTATTTTTCCTTTCATTTTTGTTATATTTTCCAATGGGTTTCATTTTACTATTTTTTTTTGGTTTAAAAAATTATCGACCCTGGTCTAAGTCTATAGCTGTATAAAATGCTATCGTTACTTGTAAAGCACGTGACCTGATGTATGTACATATTATGTAAGTAATACTTAAAACAAAACAATGAAAAGTGTTTTATGATAAATAAGTTTACTGTAATCAATGAAAAAATTAAAAAAATATTATTCATTTATAGTAGTATCGGCTAATTCGGAGAGTCGTCTGCGGATGTGGTCGATGGGGGCTGGAATATCTGTAGGTGACACCACTGGTGATAGTTGTTGTTGTAGCTCGAAGGTGAGTCTTGCGTCAAGTATTTTGGTGTCAAACATGCCGAGACTCGTAAGGTACGGTGCTCTTCGATATTCAGGATGATCTATCATCCAACGACAATACTCTTTAACACTCCTGTAATAAATGAAGTTTGCTAAAATACCTAATGCTTGTTAAACAGCATTTTTTTTATTTTTAAAGTAAGTAATAAATAAATATATGTTGGGACATTAACACACAGCACCATCTAGTTCCATGGTAAGCTACGAGGCTTGTGTTATGGATTCCAGATAGTTGATACACTACACATATATAACTTTAAATACATACAAATTATAAATATAAACACCCATGACTGGAGTACAAGTATTCGTGCTCATCGCACAAATGAATGCCCTCAGCGGGACTCGAACCCGAAACCGCTGGCACAGCAAGTTGGGTCATAACAAACTAAGCCAAACGTTTCGTCAATTAAAGAATAAAAGTGAACAAAAACACTAAAACGTAATATTATCCCGTTAAATGAATTTGAAATATTTTGGTAAGAAATTCAGTTATTATAATACTAAACTAATTCATGTAGTAGTCTCCATATAGTAAGTGTTATGCTAATTTAAGCTCTAAGTAAATGTTTAGTAACTAAATGAAAATGTGCACTTATAAGTAGACTGGAAGTTTTTAGTATTTATATGGAAACTTTTAAATTTCCTTGCCTGGAAATTTAATAAATTAAGTAGATACTTATTGCGCACTAATTTATTACTTTAATTTTTAAAATGATGGTAAATCTTAAATATATTTTTTTAAGATTTACGTATGATTTTTTGTATGTATGTATTGTATGTATTCAGCCCTTTTTAACATCCCACTGTTGGGCACGGACCTCCCTTCAATTCGAAGGGGATCAGGCCATAGTCCACCACGCTGGCCAAGTGCGGGTTGGTGGACTTCACATGTCTTTCGACAACTTGCTAGGTTCTCTCAGACATGCAGGTTTCCTCATGATGTTTTCCTTCACTGTAAGGCAAGTGGTAATCATGTTAGAAATGATTCGCACATGAAAATATCAGAGGTGCGAGACCCGACATTTGAACCCGCTTCACTCGGTTTCCCAAGCGAGCGCGTTACCACTGTGCCACCACTGCCTTAGTAGGTAGTTAATACGTTTGGTAGGTACTTAATTAAAAAAAAAACCTCAACAACTCATAGTTTTGTTTTCCATAAAAATAAGTAGTTTATGTCTGTGTGTCCAGAGTGAGCTATCTCTGAGCTAAATTAAGTCACATCGGTTCAGTTATATAGGCGCATTTATGATATTAATAAAGTTAATTAACAATAAAATTACCTCAAGTTCGTAATGCCTTCCCATACAGTTTTCAAAGTTACAAGATCTTCTGGTACATGACGTGCTGATCGCCATAAATTTTTGGTGTCGTTTCGAGGTACATGCCATTGTTCCTTATTGGGCAGACTGCGGTTAAAAGCACATAGTTTTTCACATTGACCTTCAGTTTTGATGTCTTTAGATATTTCACGGTCGAGAGCAGCAAAAAGTGATTTCTAAAATATTAGCAATTTTAATTATAAGTCTTCATACTAAGTATAACTTATTAGCTTATACGACCTTCTGAGAATTTCAGCAATACAAATAATAAATCTGTACATATTTAAATTTCCCTTTGACCTTTATAATATTGTCCGATTAATATATTAACATTATTGAGTATTCATTATAAATGGTGGAAATTATTATGGATGTCAAACAAAATACACTGTAACGTACGTCATGTGCACAAAAAGTAAATAATGATACATATTAATCCCGACAAAATACGTAAAAATTAAGTTAAATTTTGCGACTTAAACACTCGTTTAAATTCGACCACTAACAATAGTAAAAGGTATATGTATATAAATATATAGTTAAATATAACCTCTGGATTTCCTGTCACATTAGCAATTCGTTCTTCTACTGTAGGCATCTCCTTGGGCACTACTTGAAGACTTCTCGCCACGTGAGTATCAAACTCAATCTGAATAAGAATATTTCTTAATATATTTAGAAATAAATTGATACAAATATTTAAATTAACATTTTTCTTTCTTAAAAGATTAGGTACCTGAAAAAGTTCTTTAATAGCCTTTGGAGTAAAAAGTTGAGATTGTTGATCACCACCTAATTGCTTCATGTAATCACAAAAATTATGTGCTATCTGGAAATAAGTAAGTTGGGATATTAATACACAGCACCATCTAGTTTCATGGTAAGCTACGAGGCTTGAGTTATGGATACCAGATAGTTTATACACTACACATATATAAACATTAAATACTTACATATTATAAATATAAACACCCATGACTGGAGTACAAACATTCGTGCTCATCACACAAATGAATGCCCCCAGCGGGACTCGAACCCGCGACCGCTGGCACAGCACGTAGGGTCACTACACACTGAGCCAAGCGTGTCGTCAAAATCTGTGTATAAAGAAATGTATAACAATATATTATACGACAAGCAAAGTAAATATTAAAAAAGAAAATACTTTGTCAGTCAAATCATCGGCCTTTTTTATTAAACTCTTCTCGTTTTCTTTTTCTGGCTCAAGGTAGTGTGTAGTCCATGTGATTTGCTGTCGTTCCGGTTTTTTTAGATACTCCTGGTGTATATTTGTTATTTCTTCATCGTCATCACTTTCACATAAGAATTTTTATTAAAAATAGTTTTTTACATGTTATAAATAGTTTAATTTGAAAAAAATATGAAAATAAAATTGATAAATAAATCAGGCAAGTGCGAGTTTGATTCGCACACCGAATGTTCCGTAGCATGAAACATTAAACTTATGTCATGTAATAAGCATTTGCTACGTTACAAGTAAAATATTTACTCATCTACAATATTCGTTATATCGATTGCCAAAATATGTATTTCATAATATTTATATTAGAATTAAAGTTAATTTTGCGGATGAGTGCTTGGAACCCAAAATTTCCCAGATCAACTAATAAATCCAATAATCTCCAAAAAATAATAATAGTTGGGACATATGAACAGACGGACATGACAAAATTATAAGGGTTCCGTATTTGCCTTTTGGCTATGGAACCTAGACGAAAATCAAACAAAAAAAATATATGTTAAAATTATGTAGGTACCTGTAAAGGAAAAATGTATGTATTAAATATAAATCCTCTTCCGTGGACGAAAGTAAATAAAATCTAATTGCGAACAGAAAAAAAAGTATAATTTTTACTCCGTAGTCATTTGGTATAGATTTTTATCTATGATGTATGTGATTGGAATATATGAGTATATGATAAGATAAAACATTTTTATAACACAATTATTTCATGTAGATAAGTTTAAGTTAGACTTTTAATAAAACAGCGTCAGATTACTTATATATGCACCTTAATTGGCACCGTTTCACAATACAAACTAATGACAACAGACTTCTTACATTTTCAAAAAGGCGACTGGACAATGTCCCTTATAGAGGAAGAAATGTTTTTCCATAGTAGGTGAAAGGACATAAAGAAAAGAAAAAAAAATAGGTAAATTTTGTAATGCCCAAGTATCTTCTGACACTGGCATACGAAGGCATACTTATGGGATGCAAATATTTGTGCAATAACTTATCCGATTACGATTCTCTTAAATATTAGGATCTCTTATATAAAAAAAAATTAAGTCAGCTGTAGAAAATATAATTATTTTCTCAAATTATAAATATTTTTCTCACCTTGAGAGAAATTCGACGTCAGTATCAGAGTCCAAATCTCTATTTATATTAATAATCTGTCTACGTGATAAGAGTAACTCTTTCTCTAATCTACGTGTACTTTGCGCTGTAATAAATGTAATCACGAATAGATATTTTTATAACGGTTTTATAGAATTAATGGAATTTCACGAAAATTAATTAAACCTATTTTATAGAGTACTAGCATTGCCCGCGGCTCCGCCCGCGTTCAAATGACCAAAAACCAAATTCTTAGGTTTTACATATTAGTATACTCTTATATTGCAGTTTTTCTATTTTTTCTCAGAAATGAGATATTTTCCCGCGGTAAGAAGTATCTTATATGTAGACCCGGATAACCAACTATCACCATACCAAATTTCATCAAAATCTGTCCAGTGGTTTTCTCGTGATGCGGTAACAGTCAGACAGACAGACAAAAATCTAATAACTATAGATTCGGCCTCTGTATTGATAATAATGTCTATTTCAATTAGATTTTCCAAAAAATATTTAATGTACAGATTCGACTTAGTTACAATTTTATTATATGTAGAGACTAAGCTAGTTCCATCAAAATAATAAAAATCAATGAGTTATTTAAATCATAAAAACCATAGTGTTCTAGATTTTATTCTTTTATTCAAATACCTTTATTTTCGTTCATTTCCTTTGATTCTTGCGATGTCATATCGATGTGCAATATATTACAAACTTTTTTGCAGAGCTCATTTGGTAAAATTTCCGATAGAAGGTTGATTTCCTTTTCTTTCATCTTTGGTAAAAATATTATTTATTATATGAGTAAAAACCAAATGCCCATTGATTCGAAAAATTAAAGTAAAATATGTATTATTTAGATTTTTTTATTACGAATATAATTATTTTATTATATACTCAAAAATTTATTTTATCTTACTTTTATTTATTAAAATAATATATAATAAAATAGTTTCTGTTTTTTTAGTAGTTGATTATTTTATCTCATGTTTTTAATATATTATAGTCTTTTGATTAATACTGTAAGATTTATTATAGTAGCAGTGTCATTTAAGCATGCTAAGGTGGTTGGAAATTAAAATATATTATAAAGTTTATTTTGTTATGATTAAATTTTAAGATACTTTATAAGTTAGAGTAGATTGCTACTAAAAAATAATAATTTTAAAATAAAAATGAAGATAATAAATCTAAGTATAACCAAGTGCTAAATATGTATGTATAAGTACTTATATCTGAATTCTTCAGTTATTATATTTTATTATAATAAATATTAGTATAATATTTACTCACTGGTCCTGATTCAGTATCAGACAAATTGTTTAATATATTGCACCAGTATTTTCTGTTACTTTGCATCACTTTGGAGGCTTCATATTTAGAAGGAGATACTTTTAAGATCTTACGAGGTTCTCGTGCTTTGCGTAAAAATTTAAATCTATCCATAGCTTTATAAATAGTATAAAAACTTTAATTATTCGATCACTTTATTTACTGAGCCATGTAGATTTAATGTCCGTGAAAAAACATCGCTGCCAATATGCAGTGCGAACGTCGCTTAAATCTATTCGGCGTTGCTACACAACCGATCGTATTGTAAATAACTGCACTAGAATACCTGGAAACGTTGGTTACGATACAAACCGGACCTATCGTGTGTTTTTATATTGTGAAAATATTCAAAATATTTTACTCCATAGTACTAAATTTTTCTACGTTTCTACAAAACAAAATGCAAATGCCTTTTGTTTCACAGATTTTTTACTTCAATTGTTAATAATTTATTTGGAACTAAAATATAAAATAGTACAAAATACGACGGTGCTCTTATATTAGAAGAAATATTTTATGAATAAAAGAATATTTTTGTATTTCCCTTTGTGCTTTGTGCGAAGGTTGGCAAGATATTTCAACTTAAAAGACAATAAAAGCGAATAGGCAAATATGCGGCCAAAGCATCCCAAAACGTGGGTTGGTTAGAGTTGAGGGTGTTTGATCAATAATCGTGATGCGTCGACCATGCTTTGTAAACTTTCTAGCGTACAAATTTACGAATATTTTCAATATAAGTGCATAATTTATTTTATTCAGTTTAATATGCATGTAAAGATTATACAATAGTATTTATGAAAATAATAAAAAAATTGCTATCGACTTGATGACTAATTGATTTGATATTTTTGATAATTGAATATATTTATTCGTTAGTCTATACATATAATAAAATTTTAACTATTCCGAATCTGTACGTTAAATATTTTTTGGGAAATCTTATTGAAATAGACATTATTATCGATACAAAGGCCGAATCTATAGTTTTTAGAATTTTTGTCTGTCTGTCTGTCTGTTACCGCATCACGGAAAAACCACTGGAGGGATTTTGATGAAATTTGGTATGATGATAGATGGTTATCCGGGTATTATATGTTGATATAAGATACTTTTACTGCGGGTATTATATGTTGATATAAGATACTTTTTACTGCGGGAAAATATGTCATTTCTGAGAAATCTATACCAAACGTTAAAACGTAAGTAGGGACGAGCTCGAGCAGAGCGAGGCTGAGTCGCTAGTAACGAATAAATATATTACAATTTTTGCAAAAGCATGGGGATAATAAAAAGTAAAGTAGTACTTTTAAATGAAGTAAGGAATAAATTTATAAATTGCATGCTTTAGATTTCTATTTTATATTTTTTTCATCTAGAAACACATATAGAGAGTTAGAAATCCTTAGTATAAAGACGAATGAATACTTGTCGAGTGGACTTACTAAGTTTATTCAGACTGTGCAGTTGTGACAGATTTCACAGAGACTCCTGCTTAACACAATATTATGGAACGGCGTAACGTCAAGTTAACATAACACTATTTTACTTTGCCTCGTTGTAGAAGACTATTACCAGTTTTGAGTGACTTGTACGTCATACTAAGGGAAAAATATTATCAATAGTAGGTATTACAAATAATAACAATGCAGTTCTAGGTTTAGTTAAATTATCTATACTATAATAAAACAGTAGAGATCGAATGTCTGTACATAGCAAAAAAATGCTAAAAACCGAGTCAGGTGGATGTAAGAAGACAAATACAACAAATCCAGATTTTTTTTCAATTTTTCTGTCTGTTTGTCTGTTTGTACGGGCTAATCTCCGAATCTATTAGACCGATTTAAATGAAATTTTACATGGTGGTACCTTATATCCACGTGCAACATCTTAGATACTTTTTATCCCGGAAAATTAAATAGTTCCCGTGGGATAGTTAAAAACTATAGTATCTTATACAGCTTAGTACACAACAACTTATGCACCTAATTTAGTAAAATTTAATATTCTGATACCTTATAGCCTTATAGCCGGTCAAACAACGGGTTACTTTTCATCCCGTAAAAATGAACGGGTCCCGTGGGAACTAATAAATTTCTATTAGTTTTTTTTTAGAGGCGAACCTGAGCAAAGCGAGGGTGAACCGCTAGTTGTAATATATTATAGTAGAAGATTTGAAGTCGATTTTCATTTATTACCGGAAAGTTTACGGGAAGAAATTATCTTGTATGAAACCGAATATACTCGTAGATATTTTATATAATTTTTTTGCAAAATTAGTTCTAAATCAAAAACAAAGATTAAAAAAAAACATCAACATTTTAACTATGTTCGTTTAATTATAGGTATGCATTAGAGTTGTAGGTTAGGTAACTTTGCCTTTTTTAATCTTAAATGTTTAGATCATTTTTAATTCCTATCGAAAAGTTTGTCATTTACGCTAATTTTCTATATTGGATTATTTTTTTTTATAAAATATGTAGCACTAACGTTATTATTCAGAAATATTTTAGCGCGCAATTCATCCAAAGTATCGGCGAGTGTATGTACATATGTATGTATGTATGTATGTATGTATGTATACAGTACGCGCGTAGAAGGAGCGCCGTACTTATTTACCAGACGCCAGTAGTCGGCTAACAGTTTGGTCATATAGTGCACTAAAATTCGTCAACTGATAGCGAATCGGTGTACTGTGCGCGTATACTATTCAAGAATACAATCTATTATCGTCCAACAAAAAATCTGTAGTCTAGGGGACAGTCATTCAAACATATAAAAAGAACATACATACGACGAATAATCATTGCGAAATCTAATTTTGTTGTTCAAAATTAAAGCAATAGACATAAATTTCTTTGTATTATCTAGTATTTGCAAATGCTGTTTTCAATATTAAATTCGTAATAATAATATACGAATGATGTTATGTTACAATATAAAATAATATTAATTGGATCTTATAGCTCACAATCCACATAGTTGTATTTAATAGGCACTGTTTCGTTTGATTCAATTCTTGCGGTGAGATTGGCGAAACTTAAGGAAAAACTAGTATATGAAATTTTAAAAGAATTATATTTGATCAATCATTATTTACGAAGGGAACGAAAAATAAACTACTTCATTTTCAGTGTTTTTCACATTTATAGCTAATTTTAAAATGATTTGAAAAACTGTCTTCTCTACATATATAGAGATTTAAAATAAGGCACAATAAAAAACCTATATTCTTCTATTTTGAACACTATTAGACCCAAAATATCCATTAACAGTATAAAAAAAAAATTAAAGTCGCTAGTTAAAAACATATTAATGCAATTCAATGAATTTTTTAATTAATTAAAACACACAAACTCAAAATTGTAATCGTAAGTCACGAGAGGAATGTCATAAGTCTCGTCTCAGCGTTAACACGGCGTCGAGACGTGTGACGACTTAATAAGTTAGATTGTTACCGACTTGTGTAAATTTACCTTAACGCCCGATATACCCGCTCGCACCCTAACCTCATTATTCTTAGCTAAGGGTGTAATTTATATTATCCTACAGTACATTCAAAATTCGTGAACTCTTTTTGATTTGTTAGTGAAAATTTTTAATAATTTATATTATGATTTATTATTATTATTATTAAATATTATTAAATTATTAAGAATAGCTAACAAATGATCAGTTTTTTTTTCAGTTAAGTGACTTAGATGACAGTTATTCATTATTACTTATGACAAGGGTTAATTTTATTCTGGATTGTCAGTAAAGTTATTTTTGGCTTAAATTATAGATAATTTTGGGTGAAGACGGGTTGGTGAATTATTTTTAGCTAAGGTTGTATTTATTGTCGAAAATAGTAATCTCAAAAATGACTTCCTCATTTACCTACTAATAAATTGTATTTATATTTTTTAAATTACAAATACAACAGTACTAGATATATGTAAATGACTCCATATTAATTTATCTCTCTTACTTAGTTTATTAAATGCTTCTTCTTAATATTTTACACATACTAGTTCTGAACTTCCGTTAACAAATACAGTATACCAAACAAGAACAAATGAATATAGTTTAGTTAGATACCGCGAAGACACTGTAAGTAATTTGTGATCTCTGGGACCGGTTTATGTTCTCACCTGGTTGAAATGCCTAAATAACTGTCTTGTTAAGCGGAAATGTTAATTACAACAATCTATTAGAGTGTAGGCTTATAGGATTAATAATTATTTATTTAATTAATAGCCATTTAGGATATTCATGAGGATATTTTAAGATGTTAGCCATTCTTACAATAAATACGTAAGAAATAAAGTATGAAATTTTAATTTAAAAATAGTATTATTGTGGAACTATAAAAATAAACTATAATTTGTAATCGAAGCATTCATCTGTGAATAGTTTAAATAAACTTGGGTGTTCTCTAGTTAATATCTCTAATGAACGTCTTCGCTTTGCCTCTATATTTTGAATGCGTGTCGTCTTAGAAGAAATTGATGTTTGACATTGTTCAAATACTTTTTCAATACACGGGCATGATAATTGTGTTGATGTTAAATCTTCTTGACTTGAATATTGAGTGCCTACTGTACGATGGGATTCTTTGGTAGCGGAAAATGGTAATTCTATGTAGGCTATTGTTTTCGGATCGATAAAATCCGGTAAGGACTCGTTTTTTTGATTTTTTCCGAGTATAGCTGTAACTCTTCTAAAGTTCTCTTCAGTATAATCCACATAAGAAGTCAAAAGAGGAAAAGAATTTCTCTCTATCCATTTGCCACATTTTCTTAGTGGGCATTCTTGCACTTGTAGAACATCATCCACTAATAGGGACTCGAATGAAGATTCACGGGTTACTGACGTAGATGCATACGAAACAGGTTTTTCATCCTTTGAATTTAATTTTTGAGTTGATTGTTGAGTTGTGCGACATTGACAATGTTGTGATTGTAGAAATTGTTTTATACTTTCAAATCCATGACATTTTGCATATACGCATTGCCTCTGGAGTCTAAAATGAGTTAATTCTACTTCAGACGGTAAAGTTTCCCTACTACCATATTGAGGAGGAACTGGATACGACAGGTCACCAAATAAAACAAACGGCTCCATTTCACAGGACTGAATCTTTTGATCAGATTTTTCGAATTTGAATGCATTGGCTTCTGATTCTTTATTAATTAATATTGATGATGTTGTTTCATGTTTTTTTCTTATTTCCTGTAATTGTATAACAACCATTTTTTCTAAATCCAATAAGAAAGTTGTCTGCTCTGGTAGAAGTTTCAAAGAAAAAGCTATAAATTTTAAAAATATTTTAAGAATATTTTTAATATTATTCTCCCATTTTATATTTATATCTAAGATTCCGATATGGTTCTTTCTAAATGCTTCAATATTTTCAGTTCTTTCTTTAATATTATTTAATTTTTCTGTTATTTCAGCTGTTTGTAAGTTTTGTAGAAGCATTTTTTGCACTTTACACTTTTTTCTTTCCATAGTCATAACATACATCGTGGTAGTAGTTCGTTGGGCTTCAATTTGTTTATAAAATATTCTGAGTGCTTCATTTCGTTCTTGAATAGAGTTTTTAACCAACTTATCGTTTCTGTATCGTTCATTGTTAAGCAAAAGTGTATAATATTTTTTAACTTTCTGAATTTCAATGGCATACTTTCTTTGCAAGATATTTTCTAATTTTTTCCTTTCTTTTTGTAATTTGAGAAAGATTTGATTATTTAAATCACTAATAGTACTCGAATAAGCCGTCTGCAAGATTACTTGCATTTCAGTTTTCATATATTTATCTAAGTCAGCCAATGATTGTTCAAAAAATTGCATTAGTTCTTTTTTCATAATCTCACTTTTAAATTTAAATATATTTTGAAAGATCAGTTTAACCTTTTTTATGACTTCTTGTTTTTCATGTCTTAATATATAATTCCAAGAAGTATCATTGTTATTCAACAAATTTGTTAATAATGCTAAAAAATTTTTCCTTTCATTTTCTAAAACCAAATTTCCAATGGCTAATATACCTTCATGTGTTTTGCCTCTAGTGATTTTTGATGTAAAAGGTGGAATTAACTTTATTGTACCGATTAAAAGATCACTTGGCGATTTCCATTCGTCCTTCGATTTAACAAATTTTGAAAAGCGTTTTTGATTTTTGGGCAACTTAGTATAAACTTCGACGTTATCTAAGGTGGCATCTTTATCTTCAAAATATATTTCAGCATATGTACTACTTACCTGTTCTCCATATTTTAACGTGTCACATATATTTCCATCTTCCATAGAAATATATAAAATAGGTACTAATGGATTACTGTAAATTATTTTGACAAATGTCACAAAAGTAATGCATACTTCAAAATATTTTTTTAAGATTCTATGTATATGAAAAGGTAATATATTAATCAACACCTGATGATGTCGATTAATATTACCTCCTAACCGATTTCAGCCACGTTAGCCAGTGCGCAACACAAGTGCACTCTTTGGTCCTGCCACTCTCATATTCCGGTGGGTTGATAAGTCCACACAACCGACCAGTGAGTGATCAGGCGTAGGACCGGCGGATTTACGTGATCTCAGAGGTGACAAGTAAAATAACTTCAGTACACAAAATCATAAGACATTTATCTGTAGAAATTTTGTCCATTGGAACAATTTCTATCCATTTCGATAGAGCATCCGCCAATGCTAGCCAATACTTTCCCTCAAAGTTCTCCCATACATTGTCTGGGATTGACCATGAAAATATAGGAAGTTCTGTGTTATTTGGTCGATTCTCTTGACACATATGACATTTTAACGTAAACATCAATATCTTCTTCGATTGTTGGCCACCATACATAAAATCGTGCTAAAGCTCTCATTGCCGAAATACCTGGATGACCTCTGTGTAAATATTTTAACGTGTGCACGGCATCACAATTCTACCCTGCCACATAACTAAATTGTTTTCTATTGCAAGTTCTTCACGTTTGCGTAAATAAGGTTGTAGTTCTGCTACTAAATTTATCCATCCTGTTTTAATGAATTGCATTACTTGTTTAAGGCTATTATCTTTCGCGGTTTCTTCCTTAATATGTTGTTGAGTTAATGATAAATCATTTATTTTGTCGTATTGTGTAATTTCGTCAATTTTATGAATTCTTAATTCAGCTCTTGTAGGTTCCTCTTTAGGATTTGGCATACGTGATAAATAATCAGCGACTGTATTATTCTCGCCCTTTCTATATAAAATTTCATAATCATAGCTGCCTATTAATAAAGCCCATCTCACGAGTCTGTTGTTTATTATTTTTGGTAAGTTACGTTGGTGTCCTAGAATGTGTATTAAAGGTTTGTGATCAGTTACCAAAGTAAATTTAGTTCCTCTTAAATATTGGTCAAATTTTTTAATGCCATAAAATATGGCAAGTGCTTCCCGATCTATTACAGAATATCTGGATTCTGCTAAATTAAGTTTTCTTGATGCATATGCTATAGGTTGTTCAAGTTTGTTTGCTTTATGAAATAATACGGCGCCTATGTTATAAGTGCTGAGTTAATTGTTATACGGTAATCACCACATATTCTTATTTGACCATTGGATTTAAGAACATTTAATACACGCCTAAGTGACATGTTCGTTGTCATTGCAATATTTTTTATAGAGTAAACGGGGGAAAAATCATATCAAAAGATTCACTCCACTGTAGGCCAAAGAGCATTGGCTCAGCATGCTTCATTACAATTACTGGCAATATTAAACTTCGGTTATCAACTGCTACAGTAATATCAGTTAAGCCTTTGGGTTTTAGTTTGAAGTTACAGTAAGCTTTTAATGTGGGTGCTTGCATTAGTGAGGGTGATCCAATTTTTCTCCACATTTTAGTATTAATGATGGAATATACGGAACCTGGATCCCAATCCATTGTACACTTAATACCGTTAATTTTAACATCTATTTTTTTACACCTGCTTGTTTTTTTATTTTGTATTTTGTAGGTATTGCTCTCTTCCTCACTTTCTTCGCTACCTGAAAATGATGAAGTTGGTGTTTGTGATACTCTGTTAGTTATATTTGCTCTTTCTGTAATTCTGTATAAGTGCCTATTTTTCTGAAACTTAGTTGATTTTTTAAGCGGTTTATAGTTGTCAAGGTACGCTCGGGATTTCTGGCTTCACATTTGTTAAAGCTGTGTCTATTGTGCTTGCCGCATCTGCGACATTGGTCTAGGCGTAATTTGCGTGTTGGTTTACGTATGTTTTCTTCTTTTCTGTTTCCAGTTTTGTTAGATATTCTGTCTGTATTAATATCTGCTTCAGCCTAGACTGAGCAATAGCAAATAACTGTTTTATTCCGTTTTGAGTATCTATAAGATCAGGCCATGTTTGTCTTAGTTCAATTTGTAATTGTTGATGATTTAGCCCTGTAGCGAAGCGATCTCGTAACTGTCGTTCTAATATAGTGTCATCATAACCGCAATCTTTGCTAAGACAAGCTATTACTGGGGCTTTTTATACGGAAGTCTTTCCGTCGACTTGGAGCGAGGCGGAGAGACGACCCGGGACTCGAATCCAGCACGCCCGGATCTGCAGCCGTATAGTACGAGTATTACGTTTACTTAGTGGTTGGTACTTTTATAATTTTTAAAGAACATAAAACAAGTTAAAAATGTCTTAAGTAGAGAGCAATGTTACAGCACCTACTTATATGTATATCACCCCATTTATTTTGTATCACTTTACTTCATTATTTAAACTTTTAAATTATGTAAAGGCTTTATTATGTTATAGTATTAAATAAAAAATATAGAGTACATTCTATTTTTAATATGTATAATATGGACAAAATATATGAAGTTTCACTTGAAATCAATAAAGTTTTAATTTTATTAGTATTTATCAATTTAATTTCCTAGTGCAAAAAGGGTTTGTTTTCTTCACAACTCGTTTTTGACTTTAGTCGTTTTAGATTTTGTTTTTTTTTCATTATGTTAAAAAGAACATGAAAAAAAATACTTAGCGCCATTGTTTTTTTTCTAACTTTGGTTTTTTTCAGAAAAAAATCTAAAAAAAATAAAATGTTTTATTGAGACATGTTTTCTAATTTCTTACATACTAAAATCACAAATTGAATTAAGTATAATGAATCAATTAAATTAAAATTTATCCTGCCTCTGTGTCAATGTCAGTACTACTTTCAGTATCAGTGCCACCTACACTAGTCTTGTACTGGTCAGGGTCAGAATTTCATGTAAACTTGGTACTATTCAACCAAAATAGTATGTAATAATTTTTAATTCTGTACTCTTAAAAAAACATGCTCCAGAAAAAAAACGTATTTTTAATGGTTTTTTTAAGGTTTTTTCACGATATAAAAAAACAGTTTTTTTGTAACACTAGGAGAGAAATTCAGTTCACCAGATATTTGCCACCCTCGTAGTGATACGTGTGATCTCTTTGGTAGGCCTACCCCTGCCGTCGGTGTTGCATGCATAAGCTATAAACCACGACCGAGAGCGATTTAAGTCGCAGACATATCCCACAGTGCATATGGAAAGGGGATCACACTATATGCAGCATGCGTAAGGATAAACGAGAGGAATGACGCGTTTACTATTTGTTTTAGTTTCTACGTTTAATGTATAGCTGCCTCGGTGAATTAGCCCCGGAGTTGGGAAGTTGGCGGTGTTTTAGTCCCACGTCTCAGAGAGCACGTAAAGCCGTCAGTCCTGCACCTTAAGTCTCACCGATCGAGTCGAAGTATTGTCCTATTTCAAACGAATTTCCGCCTGCTTCCTTTGTGATCATTTTCTTTTTCAGTTTATTTGAAATAAGTTCCTAGTTGTTATGCATTGTTGGAGAGCTAAAAAAACGGTTATGTTCTTAAAATAATCTGCAAGCCAAGTTTTATAACGGTTTTTTGTTTTTAAGGCATTATAGTGGAAAAAAATCTGAAAAAAATATTGAAATAATATCGTTTTTCGTCTCGTATTTTTAAATTTGGACGATAATTGTTGTTTTAATATTGATAAATAACCAGTGTTTAATGGTTTTTATAAATCAGAAGAGAAAATGAGATTTAAATTTATACTTTTTTTAAATAAATTTTTGATGTTGCATTTTTGACTTATTATGAAAAAAACTAAAAAAACGTGATATGTCAAAAATAGTTTACTTTTGCATAATGCATAAGGGGGTTAAAATTATCGCAAATAGTCACCCCCTATACCCTTTGGTCACCCCTATCACCTCCTAACAGGAATACGTCGAATTACCAATAATCCTGTATATTATGTATTTAAAAATAAAAAGCGGATAAGTTGAATGATATTGTTAATTAAAATAAAGATACGTTGAACTTTTTTGTGTTTTTTTTTGTTGTAATAAAACTAAAGTTGCATGAGAAATTATTTACTGGTGTACCTAAAATAGTATTATGTCCTCTGTGGTTGGCTATAATTATGTGATGCAATGTTGTACCTGAAAATGGTTTTGCATTTTAGATATATATTTTGTATTATATATATTTATCTCTTGTATATTGACTAAATGTAAAGATTTTGATGAACTTAATATAGAAAAGAAAAAATGAAAGAAGATAAAAGATTGAATACTTTTATTAAACACTTATTAAAAGTATTATATTTTACATGATTAATTTTCTTTTAGATAAAGGAACAAATAGGTATTCAAATGGACGTACGTGTCGGCAGCCTACCTGTGATTAGCACCGGCAATGTAAAGTGAAATACCCTCGCTGCCAAATTTAATTAAATACTTCCTGGCATCAGCCACTCACTATGTACTTATCTTATCTCTCCACCGTTACTGGAGCACATTGTAAATATTCCACAGTCTGGCCAGAAAGTACAATAATATTTAACCTTCCTTAGTCCATACAACGTACAATAAATAATACACTGTAATAGTATACGTAGGATATCTAACAAACGTCGCCCGTTTAGGATATACAGAACAAAAACATTCGACTTCTTGCACACAGACTGCTCTGAACACGAGCATGTGATAATAAATTATGGACATATCTCGACTCCATTCTCATTACGGATGCGGCAATGTCCGTTGGAGTTTTGTCATAACTCAGTCTCGGTTAAAATTATTTCCGTTGGGTCTGATGAGAAAACTAGAGGTGGAGAACTGGAAATGTAAGTATTCGCGCAACAAGCCGTGGAATAACGACGGAACATATTTCATTCTTAACGAAGTTAAATTTCCGGGCCGGTCCTGGAAGAGCGTGCGTAAGTCAGATAAAAGTACTTCTAGTATAGTTACAATAACACTCTTTAGTTTGCTTAGTGGTTTAAAACTAAGGATTATCGATAAATAGAATAATTAACAAAAAGTGAACAAAAAATATTTGTTTCAAATATTGTTGAAAGCTAAGGTTAAAGTTTGACATATTCACAATAAAACAAGAGCCATATTTCAGAAACTGTAAACAACTTGGATTGTTTTCTACACATCATATCGTCTAATAAATCTTTCGGCTTCTTATCTGACGTCAAACTTAATTCCCATGCATAATTCATCGCGTTGATTCCCTGTGAAAAGGAAACTTTCTAACTCCAAACACCGGGCGTTTACGACTGACACCGGTCGATTAGTTTGTGAAAACTCGTCGATACAATAAGTTCTATGCCTACAGCAGAGGAAGTTTCTAAACATTGATTTTTCTTCTTTATATTTATTTGGTAACATTATTATTATGGTAACATTTATGTGAGTAATTTGAAAATATCGTTTTCAAATAATTTATTATTCAAATTGAAGAAATCTTATACCTAAGAATAAAATCGTAGCAACGAATACGACACGTGACGTCGCATACTATATTTCATACTTACAGAAACAAGTTGCTGGAGCTTCTCCTTCGCTAGGACAGAGCGTGCTACTCTCAGATAAACTCTTACATTGCCGCCTTAGAAGACTGGTTTCAAATTACATATTAAATAACCAAATACTATGAATAAATTAATATGTCGAACTTAATTTTTTTCTAAACACATTAATTTTTACTGATTTTTAAATATAAAAAAATATCAACATATAGACATGGAATACGCAGTAATCGAAGTACTAGTAAACATGAATAAGTTGTCATCAACAGTGCGAGTTGCAGGATTAACGCTGCGCAAATCAATCGTGTAGCACCTGCCTGACTTACCGACGCGACGTATGTCATGTCTGTTGTTAACCAAACTAAATTTTTCATTTCATTTCATTGCGCTCAATAAAAGTATTAAAGTCTAAATTATGAAACATTTCGTTCTTTTACTAACCGACTTCCAAAAAATGTTAAGATATGAATATCTAATAGATAAATATGTGTTTTACGTATCGAAATATATTAGATTTGCTTTGCATCGGCTGGCAGCGACTTCGATAATATCTGATTAGGTATCTATTCTAATTGAAAACAACCGTTTAGTTATTTTTTACATTTTAGTGCCTGAAAGTCGGTTTTTTTAAAGTTTTTTTGTTATTTAAGAAAACTACTAGATACCTATACTAGTTTAATTTTTACTTAATAATTTAGAAATTAGATGACAAAGCATGTTGTTTAGTTTGTTAGTTAGCTTGATTTCGTATAGACTTTATAATCTAGAAAGGGATATATCAAATATTAGTTTGCTGCAAACAGCAAATGCAGTGGGGGCGCGTTATTAGTGTATATGAATTTTATTTACATACATTTACGTACAAATGAACATAAATAGTCGCCATTATACCTTTATATTTATTTATATGGGAAATCCAATAAATTCAACAAAAGAATATTACTGAAATAACATATTTAAAAAGTATTAAATACAAAATATAGATTGATTGTGAAAATTGAAGTGGAAGGTGCTTGCATCGTTGCAGGCAAAAACTGAACGATAAACAAAGTCTGGCAAATAGTTGG